GTTTTATGGTAAGGAGGTATTCACATTGACGTTGCATTAATTTAACTTTTGATGGACACGCAACATGCACACAGAGAAGGGAACCGATTATGAAAGTATAGCTGGTGAATCTTCTCAAACATAACACATTTGTGTAATCAGCATCCAGTTCAAAACACAGTCCCAGTGCCCTGAATGACCCCCAATTACCCTTTTTCTCAAAGTCCTATTGACCTGGCAGTGTGTGTGTGTATTTTTTTTTCTCTTTTGCTAAACTTGATAATCCACCCCTACTGGCCCCTCGCAGTTACTACCTCCCACTGTCCTAATCACAGAGATTCATTTTGCCCATTCATCACATATTATTTTGAGATTAAAAATGTTAATGTTTCCTTTGGAAAAACATCGGGAGCAGCGATCTGCGGAGCGGAAATCAAAGGCCTGCAGGAATGCAAACGTTCCTCACCTGCCTCCTCTCCTTCCAAGCCTCCTTCAACCACACTGAACACACGGTGGACTCAGGCCAAGGCGCTGCATCCCGGTTCAGGGAGGTGCTTCCCTGGGACGCTCCCCAGCAGGCGGGCTCCAAAGGGTGGGTGGAAAGAGGACTGTCCCAGTCCGGGGATTCCTCTCAACCTGGTTACACCCCATTTACCAGGCCTGGAAAAGGTTAGAAACGTCCCAGTCCCAAGCAGGGGGTGCTCCCAGGTCCAAGAGTCAAGCACCCCAAAACAGTCACAGTGGCTGACATTGATCACATACTCACAATGCGCTGATCTGATTTCAGCCTCCTGACAGCCCTGTGTGGTGAGTGCGATTATCACCCCATGTTACAGACGAGGAAACTGAGGCAGAGAGGAGAACAGACCCGTGTGAGGTCCCACCGCGGCCTGGTTCACACCCAACCCAGGGCAGCCACACTAGGTCATTTTGAGGAGAATCGGAAGGAAGAATGCTCCTGTCCTCAGCCAGGCGGATGACCATACCTGGGGCCTTGGGGGTGTGGGCCGCGGTCCCCCTTTCTCTGCCCCTCGCCTCCTCCGGGGTGACCAAAGGGAAGTGCGATGCTGATCGGAGTTTTTCCACTAGAGCCAAGTTCCTTCTGCCTGGAAGTCTGTCAGCTTTTCTCTGAACCCTGGGAGTCGGTGAATTTCCCCGGGACCCCCCACCCCCCCACCCCGCGACGGAGTCCTGCAGGTGTCCTCTGCCGAAGAGACTCGCATAACCCCTGACCCTTGAACACCGTGGGCTTGAGTCGCAGGGGTCCAATTATACGAGTTTTTTGTTGTTTTGTTGCTGTTTTTGCTTTTCCCCCCCAGAATACAGTTGCCCTTCCTACCCGCGGGTTTTGCACCCGAGGAGTCAACCAACCGAGGCTCCCAACCAGTATTTTCAAGTTCGCAAACGCAGATTCGCAGCACGGAGTCCGCCCGCGAGTGGGAAGTAGTTGCACCTGCAGTTTGGCGAATCTGCGAGTGGGAAGAGCCGACCGGGGGAGGAGTTATACATGGATTTGGGGGGCCAGGGGGAGGTTTGGCACCCCCCAACCTCTGCCTTTGTTCAAGGGTCACCTGTACTTGTTTACTTGCGGCGTCTCTTGGGCGATTTATTATTCGCGTCTCTTCGTGGGTTTGCTCCGAGGTTTTCCCTGCCCGTCATTTCCCCGGCCACGTGGATTATGGCCGGGACCACCCTTTTTGGAAATTCATTTCTTAATTTTTTAGTTCAGAAATCAGGTCTTAAAGTCTGGGATGCCATTTTTGGGTATCGCTTGTGTTTCCCTAAGTTTTGTTTTAGTTTTAAACCAGACTTTATACCAATACTTGGGCTTTAAAAATCATCAAATTAATACACTGCTACATCTTCAAAATCGTTTATTGTGCCATATTACAGTTGAACACGAATTCCTACTCTTCTCAAATTGAAGTTGACTATGTGTGTGTCCCTTACCTGGATGAAACTTCACTGACCTGCATCAGACCCCAAGAACAGCGCCCTGTGCACAGTAGGGCCCCATTAAATATTTAAGTAATTGATGTCCTTTGAATTTGGAGTCAAAATCATTCTTGCTTAAAAACACTTACATTTCCCCCCCTCTCCTCACCCCTTCTTTTATGGGGTATTATTGGTCAATGGGTATTATTTATTTACTTATTTTTTGAACTGCCATTCAATAAGATTGACCTTTTCTTAGTGTATAGTCCATGAATTTTCACACACTGAAGTTGTATGGTAATGAGTATTGCTGAGCCGTTGACCTGTTCCATTTCTCTAGATTTGATAGGCAGAATAAAAGTTCCCCAAAGATGTCCACATCCTAATCCTTGGAACCTGTGACTACGTTATCTTACATGACAAAGGGGACTTTGCAGGTGTGATTAGGATCTGGAGATGGGGAGATTATCCAGGGTGATAATTATCCCACGTGGGCCCAAATGTAATCACAGGGTTCCTTAGCCGATGGAGGAGAGGCAGGAGGATCAGAGACTGGAATGATGGGTCACCAGCCAAGGAGCGTGGGCCCAGAAGCTGAGACAGGCAGGAATGGACTTTCCGCTGCAGCCTCCAGAAGGCATGCAGCCCCGCCGACCCCTTTTCAATGTCTGACCCCCAGAACTACGAGGTAATAAATTGGTGCTGTTTTCAGCCACCAGGTTTATGGTGATATGTTTATAGCAGCAATAGGAAAGTGCTACAGCCCATTCACAGTCTGTTTTCTGGTTGTTTTTGAAGTTACTCTTCTACTTGTTCTGCCCAGTGTTCTCTGGCTTCTGAGCACCTCGGGTGAGCTGTTACGTTTCTCTCTGGCTCCATGGGACTCAGGCCTGGTCGCTGGATTATGTTTAGCTCTGGGAGTCCCACAGGCAGTAGAAAGGTGGGGTTCTCAGGCCCTGTGGGCCTGTGGTTCACAGGCCAGATGTCTGCACCACGCCAGCCTCCAGGATGAAGAGGCCCCAGCCAACACCCCACGCCCTCCTGCTGCTGCACTCGTGGGACTGATGCTGACAGGTACCCTGGAAAATCTAGACTGACCCAAACCCCAAGTGTTCCCAGAAGCTCTACTCCCAGGACATGTCCCAGGGCTTGGGGGGGATGGCATGGGCTTCAGAGGTGGCCCAACCTATTGGCAAGGGGGAGCCTCTGGGTTTCCAGTTCTCGCAACAGAACCCAAGGCCTAACCCACAGCCTGTGGGCCCCAAGTCCCGAACGCCATGTGGCTCGAGGCCCTACTCAGGCCGCCATGTCCCCAGAATCCCTGACACACATACTTGTACTCCATCTTCCCAACAGCCTCATGGGGTGTGTACTGTTACGGTCTCTACTTTCCAGATGAGGAAACTGAGGCCCCGAAAGCTTTAGTGCCGTTTGAGACCCCACACATCTCTCTTTGAGCATCTTTCCCAAGGACCCAGTCGTAAAGTATGTCCTCATAGGGCCTAGCTGCGTGGGACACATATACCTCACTGGTCTCTGAGGAGCCTGAGCCCACTCTAACCCCTGACCCAGGGGCTCCCCATCATACATCCTCCACATCCACTGTTGTTGCACCGACCTCTTCACTTCCATTTATGGCTACTGACCGCTCACACAAGTGCTTTAATGAAAATCCACTTACTATCGTGTTGTCAGGGAGTCTTGGACAGAAAAGCTCTTCTTGACCTGTCTGTGTGCTCATGCATGTGTGTATGAGTGTGCATTGGGTATGTGTGCCAATGTGTGCATGACTGTGTGTATTACGTGCCTCTGTGTATGCATGGGTGCATGGGTGTGTTTTGTCTGTGCACGTGTGTAGTGCAAGTCCCCCCTTGAATGTATGTGTACAAGGCCTATGCATACATAGGAAAACATGTATTTTGTCATTAAAGATTCTGTTAAAAGATGCTTCTGGGTAACTCTAACCCATGCATAACGAGAGAGGGGAAAAACCCACATCTGTTTTTGTCATGGTAATAAATGGTTCTTGGGTTTGTGCCTCTAAAACTGAATTCTTATTTTTCCCCCCGAGAAGGAGAGTGAGTGATGACTGCCATTTACCAAGGGCCTACCTTCCTGGCACACAGTAAGTGCTTGGTAGGTGAGTTATTTCTTCGTCCACCGACAAGTATTTGTTGAGCAGTTGCTTTGTGCAAGGCATGAGCTGGGAGCCAGGGAGAGAGTGGTGAGGAACTCGGACCCTGAGCCTGGCCGGTTGGCTCAGCCGTGAGAGCACTGGCCTGTGGGTCCAAGAGTCTCCGGTTCAGTTCCAGTCACGGGCATGTACCTCGGTTCTTGCAGGGTCGTGTGGAAGGCAACTAGTCAATGTGTCTCTCTCATCTCTCTCTCTCTCTCTCTCTCTCTCTCTCTCTCCTTCCCCCCTCCCTCCCATGCTATCTGAAGATAAATGGAAAAATAGATTTAAAGAGAGAGAGAGAGAGAGGACCCTGCCCCCCAGAGCTGATTGTCCACTGATACTGAACAAGAGAAATAAGCGAATTCCATAGTATGTTGCTGGGTGAAAAGTGCAATGGAGGAAACAGAGAAAGGGGATCTGGAGCGCAGGGCGTGACCGGGAACTTTTACAGGCTGGTGGGGAAGTCTCACTGAGAAAGTGACATTTGAACAAAAATCTGGAGGGAGGGGAGGGGGGAGCTTTGCAGATGTCTGATGGAAAAGCATCGCAGGTGGAGGGACCTGCAGGTGCAAAGGCCCTGAGGTGGGCCCTGTGCCTGATCATGTGAGAGAATTTTCAGTCCCCTCTCCCTGCCATTTTCTCTCTCAAAATTGACAAGCACAAGTGTCGCCCCAGCGCTGCAGAAAGCATCTCTCCCTGTGACCCAGCCACCCGTCTCTTTAACCTTGAATGCCTTTTTGGGTCTCAAGTGTCACCAGGTGATGAGTGAGCAGCCCTTACTTCAGAAGAACGGCATGGGGTAGGGTGGTGGGGAGGCCTTAGGTGGTGTTTGCCTCACCTATTAACTGCCAAAAGTGGTCATGGGGTTATTTTTAAACACGGGGAGGAAGTATTTATTGTTCCGGCCAAGGAGAGCGGGCAGCCTGAGAGATTCTTCTAGGGAACCGGTGCTGAGACCTTTCCACCATGGTGAGTTGGGGAGGGCTCTGGGAGGCGAGTGGTGCTGGGTGGCTGAGAAGGGGACACCACCTACAAGCAAAGGCCTAAACGGGGGTGGGAGGAGGAGGCTTCTGAGGACCCCAGGCCCCGGCGGGAAAAGCGCTGCTCGCTGTGTGTGCACAGAGAAACCCCAATCAATGCCCTGATAAGCCACAAATAACAGCAGCTCCCGGGGACTTGCAAAAACAAAATAAGAGAGTTGGCTTTTTTATGGCTTGTCTACTGACCTCTGGAGGAATCAATAACTCCCAGGGCTTGCAAAATGGGATTGAACACTTTTAAGGATCAAATTGTAATTCTTTTCTCTGGTTCAGGCAACTGGGGAAAAGATCTTTTTGTTTTCACCTTTTGAACTTGCAAAATTAAAATCTTTCTCCGTACGTTGTGTGGTTAGGTGTCCCACCTCCCGAAGCAGGAAGCTCCCATAGTAGGGTCAGCATAAGAGAGTGGTTAGGGGCACAGGCCCTAGAACCAGACTGCCCAAGTTCAACTGCAGCTCTGCTGTTTCTGTGACTGTGTGACCTTAGGCAAGTGACCCAACCTCTCTGAGCCTCAGTTGCCTCCCCCGTGAAATAGTGACAGTAATAACTGCATCTGCGTGACAGGCCAGTTACGAGGATTAAATGAAGTACTGTATGTGCAGTGTTTAAGCATTTGCTGTAACTGTTTAAAGTCAGAGAGAAGTGTGCAGGGCGAAATGCGGACTTGCTCTTCTCTGCGCTGTTTGCCTGGTGCAAGGCCAGGACATTTAGAGAGATCTCACTGCCATTTGGATCAAGGGACAATTTTGTGTGTGTGGGAGGGGGAGCCGTTGGGTTTTAACACCCAGAAAAAGTGTCATTTTGTCTTGACATTCCTCACGGTTTAGTGAGCCTGACTTTTTCTCCCCTGCAATCAATTCTCCGTCTGTGCATTACTGAACTTTCTGTGAAACGCAGCAGAACAAAAGCAGCTGGACCCCGCCGGGGCTGATCTGAAGGCACGGACCATCCCCAGAGACACCCCTCCACCTCTCCTAGTCTTTATAGGAACTGCCGCGAGACCCACAATCACTTATGATCACTTATGATCCAGAACTGGGGGGGGGGGGGTCATAGAGAAATGCCATTTTGTGTCCTTTTATCCTTCCAGCATCACTGTTTTGAGGAGACTGTGGACGCCATACCCCCGTTTCACAGATGAGCAGCTGGGGCTCACCCAGAGATAGGGCCTGGCCTAGTTTTCTAATTCTCAGCTTCTGACTTTCAATCGATGCCTTCCCCCCCACCCTAGGCACCCAAGAAAGCCAAGAAGAGAGCAGAGGGCGCCAATTCCAATGTGTTCTCTATGTTTGAACAGACCCAGATCCAGGAATTTAAGGAGGTGGGTGCAGCTGTGCAATCACTGGCCTGGATGCAAATGCCCACCCATTAGGGAGCACCTTCCCTTCCTCAGTATTCCCTGCAGGGACCTCTTGCTTAGATGTCTTTATTCTCCAAACAACCCCGCATTCAGTCTGCATGTGTGTGTGACCCACTTCAAGAAGTTATTTTTAATAACTTTTGCTAATCATCAAAGTAAAGCATTTTTTTGTTGTTGAAAATACAGAAAAAAATTTCAGAAAAGCACACACAGAAAAATGACCTACAATCTATGACCCAGAGATAATCAGTTAACAGTTTGGTATACACCCTTCAAGTCATTTTTGTTATATATGTACATACTTGTTAAACAAAGTTACAGTCTTCTGCACATGCTGACTAGTGCCTGCTGGTTTTCTCTGAGCAATTCAGTATCAACATTTTCTTTTTTTTATCCTCACCCGAAGACATTTTTTTGCATTTATCTTCAGATAGAGCGGGAGGGGGGGAAGCGGGAGAGAGAAACATCCATGTGAGAGAGACACATCGACTAATTACCACCCACACGACCCCAACTGGGGCCGGGGGCAAACTGCAACCGAGGTACATGCCCTTAGCGGGAACCGAACCCAGGACTCTCTGGTCCACAGGCCGACGCTCTAACCACTGAACCAAAATGGCCAGGCCTCAACATTTTCTATCATTTATTTAAACCACTTCCTATGGTGGGATGTTACATGTGTTTAGAATGTTTCACTTTTCCCTGGAGTAAAATCCTAAAAGTAGAATTACTGGGTGGAAGGAAGGAAGGAAGGAAGGAAGGAAGGAAGGAAGGAAGGAAGGAAGGAACGAACGAACGAACGAACCCTGGCCTAAGAGGCTCAGTTGGTTAGAGCATCATCCGGTGCACCAAAAGGTTTCGGATTCAATTCCCGGTCAGGGCAAAATGCAGTGGGGGTGGGGGTGGAGGTAGCCATCAATGTATAGCTGGTCCAAATTATCCTCTAGAAACAAGATGCTAATTCTTACTCCCACTGGCCCCAAGAGGAGAAAGTGCTATTTTCTCCCACACCTCTGTCAACATTGGGCATTAATCGTCTAAAATATTTTTGCCAGTCTGAGAGATGAAAAGCAGTATCTCTTAGATATCAAATTTTAGGGTCCTCAATTGTTGCATACCAGCAGGGTCTGACACCCTATCACATGCTACACGACTGCGCCTTATTAAGCAAACTAAGTACCAATTAGGCAAAATTAAGCCACCGCCTGAAGGCTTTGAAGGACAGACAATTAATTATTTTTCCAGCAGCCGTGATTGGCTCACACTGAGTCACCCACACTCCCGCCTGTGGGAAATACGCTAAGCTATGCTAAAGAGGCCAGTGTGTTTTATATCAAAGGGAAAACCTTTGGGACTTCCAAACGGGACGTGCACACTTGCACCTTTTGTTCCCGCTAACATTCAGTTCACGGGAACATCCTGTCCCATAGGCCACCAGGGAAAGAGGAATTCCTGGGATGACATGTCATATCTGAACTTGAAATAGTCACCTTCCAGGGAGAAAACTGCGCCACCCCTTCTCCCTCACCCCATCCCGACCTCTGAGATGAGATCAGCTGCCGGGGTGTGGGCAGGGGCTACAAATACTTTCCACAACCAGCTGCAACAAAGAACTCGGAAAACAGAGATGACATGTCATTTGTAAAACACCCGGACATTTACAAAGCTCCCTGAGTCTCCCTGCTAGCTAGCTGAGAAAGATCACCAGCTCTCTTTTACAGATGTGGGCTGGCAAGCGGGGGAACAGACACGAGACCCTAGTTTTGTTGTTAATCCTCACCCAAGGAAGTTTTTTCCCATTGGTTTTTAGAGAGAGTGGAAGGGAGGGAGGAAGAGAGAGAGAAACATCAAAGTGAGAGAGACACATCAATTGGTTGCCTCCCACACAAGGACCAAACCTCCAACTGAGGTGCATGCCCTTGACCGGAACTGAACTTGCAACTCTTTGGTTCAAGGGCCGATGCTCTAACCCCTGAGCAAAACCAGCCAGGGTCAAATTTGCATTTTTAAGGTAAGTGTATAATTCAGTGGCTATTTAGTATCGTCAGAGTTTTGCAACCATTATCCCTATCTAACTTCAGACCATTTCATCACCCTTAAAAGAAACCTTATACCCATTAGCAGTCACTCCCCAATTCCCTCTGCCCCCAGCCCCTGGTGATCACTGACCTGTTTTTGTCTTTATGGATTTGCCTATTCTGGACATTTAATAGAAAACAAATCACACAAAATGTGGCCGTTTGTGTCTGGCTTCCTTCACTTAGCATCATGTTTCAAGGCTCACCTATATTGTAGCATATGTCATTAATTCCTTTCTTTTTTTATGGCTGAATGTATTCCACTGTATAGCCAGGCCACATTTTGTTTATGGACATATGGGCTGTTTCCAGTTTGGGGCTATAGTGAATCATGCTGCTATGGACAGTCATGTTTAGTTTTTTGTGTGGACAGATGATTTAAGTCTCTGGACTGGAAACCTGGCCATTGAATTGCTGATCATATGGTGACTCTACACCTAACATTTTGAGGAACTGTCAGATTGCTGTGAATCTTTGACTCGTGATCCAATGTCTCTCACTGTTCCTTGAAAATCCCAGAATCCCACTTCCCCTACCCCACAGCCTCACCTCTTGGGCTCCTGCCCCCAATTTCTCCTGGGCTGACCAACCAACCACCTCCCTTTCACAGGCCTTCACCATCATGGACCAGAACAGGGACGGCTTCATCGACAAGAATGACCTGAGGGACACCTTTGCTGCCCTTGGTGCGTTTCCCATTCTGGCCTGCAGGGGGCTCTCAACCCAACCCCAGGAGGGCCGGGAGGTGGGACCACCGAAAAGGTCAAGAGTTTGTCATTTTCCAGAGAAACAGCTGAACCGTGATTGTCCAAAGACAAATGTCAGAGGGTAGGAAAGAAGGGTGTGATCTTCGAGTGTCCTCACATCTTTTTTTTTTTTAAATAACTTTTTTTGCATGTGATTTGAATGCAGTGCCAGCTCACAATAGAAAACTTGGAAAAATTAGAAAAGTATAAAGGAGAAAACAGCATTACCCATTAGGCCACACTCCACCGTGAACATTTCAACTTTTAAGTCTAGGTATATGGTAGGGGCGGGGGGAGTTTAATTACTGGAATCATTCTATTTTGGATTCAGCTTTTTTAAAAATTTTACATCTCAACAGAGTGAACATAAGTACCTGGAGCTTTTTCACAATATGCGCGTCCACCCTGCCACCACTCACCCCGACTCCTAGCCCCAGAGCTCGGGGCCACCGTGGTCACCAGTACAGGTCGTGCATGCGAACTCCAACAGAGCACATTCATGTTTGTAGCCACGGTAGATTTTTATATTTAAAACATAAATTATCTTGACCTGATCAGTGTGGCTCACTTGGTTGGAGCATCGTCCCATATACTGAAAGGTTGTGGGTTTGATTCCAGGTCAGAGCACATACAGGAGGCAGCCAATCAATGTTCTCACTCTCTCCCTCTACCCCCCTCTCTCAAATCAATAAGCATATCCTCAGGTAAGGATTAAAAAAAATAAAAAATAGCCCTGGCCGGTTTGGCTCAGAGGTAAGAGCGTCGTCCCGCAGACCAATGAGTTGCGGGTTCGATTCGGGTCAAGGGCACGTACTTCAGTTGTGGTTCGTCCCTGGCCCTGGTCGTGGTCGGGCGGGAGGCAGCCAGTCGATGTGTCCCTCTCACATTGATGTTTCTCTCTCCCTCTCTCTCTCTCCCTCCCACTCTATCTGAAAAAATAAAAATGGAAAAATATCCTCAGGTAAGGATTAAAAAAAAAAATTAAAAATAACTAACCCCGCCCTGGCCGGTTTGGCTCAGCGGTTAGAGCGTCGGCCTGCGGTCCGGAGAGACCCGGGTTCGGTTCCCGCTAAGGGCATGTACCTCGGTTGCAGTTTGTCCCCGGCCCTGGTCGGTCGTGTGGGTGGCAGCCACTCGATGTGTTCCTTTCATATCGATGTTTCTCTCTCTCCCTCCCACTCTACCTGAACAAAAAAATAGAAAAATGTCCTCAGGTGAGGATTAAAAATAATAATAATAATAAAAAAATAAGTAACCCCTCCTACATCAGAGTTTAGGTTGTTTCCAGTTGCTTGGCTATTATAAATAACACTGTCAGGAACATCTCATGTGAATCTTTGGCCCGTGCACTCTGTCTCTGATTATTCTTAGACTGGATTCTCTGCAGTGGAATCACAGGGCAAATGCCAGTGTCCTAGTAGCTGTTTCTGTCCCAGCTCAGAGACCCTGAGTGTGTGTTTCCTGTACTAGGACGTGTGAACGTGAAAAATGAGGAAATCGATGACATGATAAAGGAAGCTCCAGGTCCCATTAACTTCACGGTGTTCCTAACGATGTTCGGGGAGAAACTTAAGGGTAAGCTTGTGTGCCTGTGTGTGTGTGTGTGTCTGTCTGTCTTTACGTGTCTTCATCTTTGGGTGTGAATTAAAGCACTAGGAGAATGGACAAGGATTGCCAGAAGATAGAGGCAGAGTAACACTGGGGAAGAAAAGAATGAAAACAGCAGCTTGCTCAGCGGTTAGAGCATCAGCCCGAGGACGGAAGGGTCATGGGTTTGATTCCTGGTCAAGGGCACACACCTGGGTTGCAGGTTCGATCCCCAGTTCTGGTTGTGCAGGAGGCAACCAATCGATGTGTCTCTTTCACATCGATGTTTCTCTCTCTCCCTCCTTCGCTCCCACTCTATCTAAAAAAAAAAAAAAAAATCAGTGGAAAAATATCCTCAGGTGAGGATTTAAAAAAAAAAAAAAAGCTGCCCGGCCAGTGTGGCTCAGTGGTTGAGCATCAACCCATGCACCAAGAGGTCAGCAGTTCAGTTTCCAGTCAGGGCACATGCCCAGGTTGTGGGCCTGATCCCCAGTGGGGGACATACAAGAGGCAACCAATCTCTCTCATTGATATTTCTGTCTCTCTGTCCCTCTCCCTTCCCCTCTCTCTCTCTAAAATTAAATAAATAAAAAATAAAAATAAAAAAAGAAGCTAAGTTTGCTCCAAGGCTACCCTGAGCCAGAGCTCATGCTGAGCCCTTTGTAGGCATTACCTCATTTAGCAGCATCTAGGAGGTGGGTTCTGGTCTTATCCCCCGTCTACAGATGGGAACTGAGTGAGACTCAGAGACAGAGCCACATAGCTAACATAGCTGGAGTCAGGATTTGAATCTCAGTCTTTCTAAATCGAGATCCCCATTTGACCTCGGGTTTTGCTAAAAAAAATAACCGGACACTCAGCCCACTCTTTAACAGCAAGGCTCAGTGCTCAGAGGAAGGCTGGGTCTCTCCTCTGGGCGAAATAGCCTGGCTCCCCAACTTGGTGGGGTGGGGGCCTTAGGTCCTGCCTCCTGGGGTACGTCAGGTGCCCAGCCACCCACGGCACATACCAACCTGCTTTCTGTTTCAGGGGCAGACCCCGAGGAGACCATTCTCAACGCGTTCAAAGTGTTTGACCCTGAAGGCAAAGGGGTGTTGAAGGCTGACTAGTGAGTGGGATCTGTGGGGGAGGGTGTGGGGATCCCTGCTTGCCCCTCACACGCTCGGCACCAACACCTGCTTTTCTCTCTCTGCAGCATTAAGGAGATGCTGACCACGCAGGCAGAGAGATTTTCCAAGGAGGAGGTAACGGGGCCCCTTGGCTGCTCCCTGCATCCCGGCCCCTGGCGTCACCCTTCCAGGGCCCATCTTCTTCTTTCCTAAAACACCCCCGACCCCACAGAGAGAGGGAGCCTGCAATCGTTACTGAGCCCTTATCCCATGTCGTTCTCCAACCCCCTCATGAGGTCAGAACTAGTATTACGTCATTTTATAAAAGGAAAAACTGAGGCCCAGGGAAGTGAAGTCGCCTAAAAGGACAGCACTGACGGTGAATGCAGGTCGTCAGACCCAGGTCTACCTTCCTCAGTGCGTGGGGCCTGGTGAGAGCATCAGTTTCCGGCCGGGGGGGGGGGGGGGGCAGGCAGCGGACCTTGTACTGCCATGTAGGTGCGCCCCACAGTTCGGGATGCCGTTCTTGTGACGTGTGTGTGTGTGTGTGTGTGTGTGTATGTGTGGCAACGGTTTTCCAGCAGATGACCGTAAAGTGACTTGTTGAAAAAAAAAATTTTTTTTTACCAGAATATATGACTTTTCTGGCAGGTGGCAGTATTGTGCCTGGAAGAAGGGACACTTGATAATTCGCCAAAAGTCCTGTATGAACAAGCAACAGTACTGCTGATATTATTAACGTACCTTAAGGAGTCTATTTTAAATAGTCCCCTGTCAGGCCTGATTCCATCAAGTTCCACATTTTACTAAAAATTTTATTTAGATTTTTCCCTCCCAAACTCAAGCAGTTAAAGAGCCTGCCTTCGCTTCCCACCAGCTTTGTGACTCTGGACCAGCTCCTTAACCTCCCTGTGCCTCAGTTTCCCCATCTGTAAAGTAAAGACAATCCTAGAACCTACCGCATTCTACACTGTGAGGGTTCCAGAAGTTAGTATGTGTACCGTGCTGACATGTGATAGGAGCAATGTTAGCACATGTGAGCTAGTAACAGCCAGTATGATTTTTAAAAATAACTAGCCAATATATTTAAAATGTGGAAATCACGTTTAAAAAAAAAAATCTAGATGTCTGGAGTCAGATCCTTCAGAGTCTGACTTCCTTGACTACATGGCCACATTTGGCTGTCCCTGAGCAGCTGCCACTTCTGTAGGCGACCCACGTGCCCCCACCTCGCTCTCTCATCCAACCTGCCCAGCACGTCTGAGCATGTGATCCCCGACTTACCCATCGCAGGTTGGGTTCCGGGGAAAATCCCTTCAGGGTGGCCCTTAGGGTCAGCACGGAAAGTAAGGGCAAGGAAGCAGGGGGGCTCACGGGAGATGCTGACCCAAGATTCAGGCCCAAAGAGTGTCCTGGTCGACGCTCCCGGGGGCTAGAACAGCCCTTCTGAGAGGTCCTGAGCTGGGCCCCACACTGATCAGGAGGCTAGGGGCTGCCCCAGGAAGGGCGTCACCTTCTGCTCTCTGCAGCAGCGAGTGACAAACCTTCCTGGAGGGATCTAGTGGAGCATGTCCATGTCTGCTACTCCTCACCCCCATTCCCTCCCCCACTCCCACTGCCTCTCAGGCCTGCCCCCCACAGAGCCCTCCCTTCCGCTCCCCTCCTTTCATCATCCTCTGCACCTCTTGCTGGTTCATTGCAGATTGACCAGATGTTTGCCGCCTTCCCTCCTGATGTGACTGGCAACTTGGACTATAAGAACCTGGTGCACATCATCACCCATGGAGAAGAAAAGGACTAAGCGGGGGGCTCACCACCCCACCTGGGCTTGTCTTTGCCGGGAGGACGGTACCTGCTCTCCTCTCACTGGGCCCAGGAAAGCCGCCACCCTCGCCCCTGGCCTGTTAGCTGTGTGGCTGCCTCGTGTGTCTACCTCCATCTACTTTGCAGCCCAGGTGGTGTGTCAATACCACGTGACCACACATCCTGCAGATGGAAATCCACGCAGAGGCCTTGTTCAAATAAACAGGAGGTCATGTATTGGTCCGTGTGTTTCTCTGACAGAAGTGCCTGGAGTAAGGAGGGCCCTTTGCCAGTTTCCATGAAGGCAGCGAGTAAGCTAGTGATGGCCCTGCTGTCATTATTATTGAATCTTGGTGACTCTTTATTTAAAATAGATCTTTGCAGCCACTCGGGACTATTTCTATCAAGGGCCACATTTTACTGGAAAGTTCGAGTACTGCAGCCTTTTCTTCCAAAGAGCTCAAGGAGTTGTAGAGCCCAGCTTCCATGACACCCATTCCCCCGGGATGTCGCTGGAATGCTTCTCCCACAGATGTGCTTAGACAGGCCCCGCGATGACTTAAGAGGAAAAGGCCTCCTGTGCACGCTAAGAATATGGCTCATTTGGCAAAAAATCACATCCATTCATTGTAAGAGGTCAATTTCTAATTTTAGGTGAAGTAGAACGTGTCTGTACTTCTCCCTTGGCAAACTGGGGGAGGAGCGCTGATTTCTGAACCTGCCTGAGGTCCAGCAACCAGGCCTGGACATAAATCTACTCTCGATTTTCAGTGACCCAAGTCATTGCTAAAGCATTTGGGTCTATTTTGGCTGCGAGAACACCAATTTAGGAAACAAATGGGTTCACATAACTAAGAAGTCCAAGGACTTCAGGCATAGCTGCATCCAGGAGCTCACACAGGGCCATCAGTACCTGAGGAGGCCTCTCCACTGCTCGGCTTTCTTTCATGTTGCTCTGCTCCCAGTGGTAGCAAAACGGCTCCCATCTATGCCCTCAGCAATCTTTCTGGAAAGAGGGCCTATCTCTTTCTCCCAGCTCCACACCAATCCCAAAAGAGTGCCTATGGGGTTCCTAACCGACCCTGAAACAGGTGCAGTGCTCTGATCGGCAGACCTGGATTACATGATTAACCCCCATCCCGGGGCTAAAGTCAGCCCCTTCTCCAAGCACGTGGCTGTTCCCCAAAGGAAAATCCAGATGCCTTTCAGGAAGAAGGGGAGTGAACATCAGACCCTCGTAGGTCTTCAAGAACTCAGGACACAGCCCAAGCGAATGATGGGATAGGAGCAGAGAGCTGAAATTGGGGATGGGAGTGGCAGCTGGGGTCACCGAGAAGGAATGACAGGGTCCAGGTGTTCGGAGGAGCCAGAACTGGAGCGAGTCTTCAAGGCTCAAGATTAACAGCAGAGCCCCTTCAGGAGGAGTCCAGGGTCAGCTCCACCGGTACGAATAATGACATCACCCCTGGCTGCCAGGAAACGGGCCCCCTTTCAAAGCCAACAGCAAGCCAGGCAGGCAAGGACTTGGGGGATCCCACCTGTGATGACCCACAAAGCTCCACAGACTCCTACAGAAACAACCAGGTCCCGGGGAGGCCTGGGAGGGACCCAGCTCCGATCATTCTAGTGCAGCATGTGTTTTGGGCCAAGACGCCCAGGACACAGCTCTGCAGTGACACGTACATCCGCGAGACACATACACAGAGTTACAGAGAGATACACAAACACACACGCACAGATACAGAGGTTACGTGGCTCCCAGTTCCTGCCTGAGTGGCTGCTGCACCCCGTGTGATTCTGGGGCACGAAGATCAATATTTCGGCTTCCCCTGACCCCTACACTTCACTCATCCCTGCTTCACCTAGTGGACCACGGCAAGGGGTGACCTGTGCTGGCCATAATCTCAGGTTCTCAGGGGCCACGGTGACCTGACTGTTGCATCCTGTGCCACTTTGGAGGTCAACCCCTCCTTTCCTCCACCCTGCTCCGGGGTGGCTCCCAGAGCCCTAGTCTCCTAGAAGGGAGTGTGAAGAGGCACTGGGGTTACAGAACAAAACATTTATTCTCTCTGGTTATGATGCAATGTGGCCCATCCATATCCGATTATTACCTTCTTCTTGGGCCTCAGATGATCCCCCTTTTCAGGGTGCTTTCCGGTTGTGAGTCCCTGATTCGAGACTCTCTCTTGAGGTTGTTGCTGAGGACCATCTGCCGAAGGTTGCTGTGGTCCAGGGGATGTTCCACTGTGCCAAAAACGAGACTCGGGTAAGGAGTTTGGAAATCGAACCCACTACACTTCCTACCCAGGGACAGTGCCTCTCTGCCCCATTTCACAGGTACCCAAGGCAAGGATGTCCAAGCCTGTTAGGGGGTTCCTCTGCAATCCTAGGGGCTGGAGTACGACCATTCTCAAGGTTCAGGGAGGAAGAGGATAGGTAGAGAGGTACTGCTTAGGGAGACCCGGACAATAACTGTTGTTTCCTTCCAGGTGAGTTTGGTTTAATCTCAGGATGTAGACTGCACAAAGGTGCCAGGTGGAAACATGAATGAATGAATGAATGAATGAATGAATGGCTGAAATCCAGCCCCCACTTGGTTGCCAAACCATGTCGACCCAAAAGGGGCACCTTTTTCTAATTAATATGCCCCGAGGGGGTGGTCTCTTCTAATTCACACATGTGAGCCATAGAGGCTAGTAAGCTAAGAAAACCCAATGTTTATCAACATTCCCTTGAACAGGGGAAGACATCTCCGTCAGTTCCTGACCTTGTGACCTATGCCCCGCGAACCTCCTCTCTTAGGAACACGGAGGCCAAGAGAAGCTGTCCTACGGGGCGACACCACACCAGCTCTCACTCCTGCTAAGCTGCGGTGCATGGCTAAGCCGACAGAGGGTGTGCCTGCAAGTGCGCCCGAGCGGTGGGGGCCCTCCCTCCCCTCTCCCCTCCTCCCTCCCCCCCTCCCTCCCCTCTCCTCCTCCCTCCCTCCATTCCCTCCCTCCCTCCCTCCCTCCTTCCCTCCTCCCTCCCTCCCTCACCCTCCCCTCCCTACCTCCCTCTCCCTCCTCCCCCCTCCTCGGCGGCTGCGCACTTGAGGTGCTGCTCAGAGAGGCAGGGCAGCTGTTTTTCAAAATCTACTTTTTTCTCTGATTACAGAAGTGACCCAAGGTCATTGTAAGAGAAAAAAATTAAACAATACAGAATTGTTCGACTCAGAAATGTAACGTTCTCTGCAACCTAGCACCCAGAAATAGCCACCGAAAGTCAGCCTGTACATCCTCTTTGTTCTCACATGCAAATCAAGGTCTCTCCCTCCTTCCCTCCCCCACCCTCCCGCCCTCCCTCCTCTTCCTCCTCCTCGGCTTTCTCTCTCTCTCACCATATTTCTCTCCCTATTATAAGTCAGGGTTATGAAGGCCTGTCCTGTGCACTGTATGATTGTAGGATTTTAGCAGCATCCCTGCCCACTAGATGCCAGAAGCAATTCCCTCCTCTAAGTTGTGACAACCAAAAATATCTCTGGACATCACCGAAAGTCCTCTGAGGAGTAAATCACCCCCTGTTGAGAACCAGTGAATATACGTATATTATAGTCCATCACATTCTTTTTAGTGGCTTCATAGTATTCCATTATACGTATGGGTGAACTATAACTTATTTAACCAATCTCTAATGTGTGGGCGTTCCAGTCATGTCCAGTTCGGGGCTACAGTGAACATCCTCCAACCTTTGCCTTAGACTCCTGAATAAGTTTTTCCCGAGAAACCGATTCCCACAGGTGAGATCACAGGCTAAGTGGGTGTGTCCATTTCTCAAGCTTCCCATACACGTTGCCAAACTGCTCTCCAAAACCCAGCTGAGGCCGATTGTATCGCCAGCTTCAGAGAGAAGGGCTGGTTCCCGTCACAGGAACCTGTGACAGGGAGTGTCGTGAGCTTCCGCCTCCGAGAGGAAGGAAGATCGATGGGCCGATGCTGGAAGTGCCACAGTAAAGGCTTCTGGATGGGACGGGACCGAGGAAGCTCATGGGTGGAGTGAGACTCAAGAGCACAGGTGAGCGTGAGAGATGAGATCAGGGAAACTTGTGAGCCCATAACTTGCCAATTGGGAAATTTTGGACATTTTAAGGTTCATTTCAATGGTTACATAGTAGTTATGAGTTTAGAAAATATCCAGGATAACTAAACTTCATGATCTGTGTCAAGGCCATTGGGCCACAGGGAGAAGTATCCCTAAGAGAACCATGCCACGTGGCCACAGCCAAGATGGTACCCAAGATGGGCCACATGGCTCATAGAAAAGGGGAAACTGAGACCCTCTGTCAACACTGTAGACCCGCATGCCCACAGGCTTCCTCGGAGCCCTGCCCCAGCAATCTGGGGAGATCTGAGTAGAAAGAGAACTCACTTTCTTCCAACTTATCACTGAAGGGGTCAGTCCCGAACACGGGGGGGTTGACCTTGATGGGTTCTATATTCCTGTAGAGGGCAGAGCTGCCCCAAAAAGGGTTGATGAAGGGTGGTGGGGTCTCAGCCTCTACCCCTTCTATATCCAGGATCCGCCTGTAGGACTCCAACAGCAGCAGGTCGTTGGTCATCTTTTCAATAATAGCTGAAAAAGAATCACGGCATTCAAGATCACTGCCACAAGACCTGGTTGAGGGGCATCTGGGGATGGTGCCCCCCACTGGAGAGGAAGGGAAGCAACAGAAATGGGGATGGTCATGAGCTCCTATAAAGACAATGCCTTTCTCTTGGGTTACTCCATGCATTCGTGAGAGGGGGCAGTATCACCCCAAACGGGTAAAATTTGGTTCTTGAGAGGCAAAAAATAACTGACTCTATAAGGTATAAAGCACAGATATACATACAGGACATAAACAGCTATACAGTATATCAATAGTATTAAATTTTTATAAGGATGGGGCAATTAGGAAAAGAATATCTAAAAAGGCTCCTTAGAAGGTAATAATGAAAAGAAGGTTGAGAAATACTGGGTTATGTGAAGAAATCGATGGCATACTTATACACCAACGATGAACTCACAGAAAGAGAAACTAAAAAACAATCCCATTTACCATCACGGCAAAAAAATTAAGATACCTGGGAATAAACTTAACCAAGGAAGTAAAGGACCTCTTTACAGAAAACGACAGGTCATTGAAAAGAGAAATAGGGGAAGATATAAAAAAGTAGAAGCAGCCCTGGCCGGTTTGGCTCAGCGGTTAGAGCGCCAGCCTGCGGTCCGGAGAGACCCGGGTTCGGTTCCCGCTGAGGGCATGTGCCTTGGTTGCAGTTTGTCCCCGGCCCTGGTTGGTCGTGCGGGTGGCAGCCACTCGATGTGTCCCTTTCGCATCGATGTTTCTCTCTCTCTCTCTTCCTCGCTCTCCCTCCCACTCTGTCTGTACAAAAAATGGAAAAATGTCCTCGGGTGAGGATAAAAAAAAAAAAGTAGAAGCATATACCTTGTTCATGGATTGGAAGAGTTAACATCATTAAAATGTCCATACTACCCAAAGCAATCTATAGATTCAATGCATCAAAATACCAACACCATATTTCACAGAACTAGAACAAATATTCCAAAAGTTTATATGCAACCAAAAAAGACTCCGAATAGCCACAGCAATATTGAAAAAAGAAGAAGAAAGTAGGAGGAATCACAATACCAGATATCAGGTTGCACTACAAAGCCACTGTAATCATAACAGCCTGGTACTGGCACAAGAACAGGCATATAGATCAATGGAACAGAACAGAGAACCAAGAAATGGACCCAAGACAATATGCTCAATTAATATCTGACATAGGTGGCAAGAGCATACAGTGGAGTCAAGACAGCCTCTTCAATAAATGGTGTTGGGAAAATTGGACAGCTACATGCAAAAAAATGAAGCTAGACCACCAACTTACGCCATACACAAGAATAAACTCAAAATGAATAAAAGACTTAAATGTGACTCATGAATCCATAAAAATCCTAGAAGAAAATGTAGGCAACAAAATTTCAGACATCATATGCAGCAGAATTTTCACTGATACATCTAAGGCAAAAAAAACAAAGGAAAAAATGAACACATGGCACTACATCAAACTAAAAAGCTCTGCACAGCAAAGGAAACAACCATCAAAATGGAAAGGAAACCCACTATGTGAGAGAGCATAATTGCCAATGACACATCAGATAAGGGGTTAATTTCCAAAATATATAGAGTGTTCATACAACTCAACAAAAGGAAGACAAGGAACCCAATTAAAAAATGGGCAGATGGCCCTGGATGGTTTGGCTCAGCGGTTGGAGCATCGGCCTGCGGTACAGAGAGACCCGGGTTCAGTTCCCACTAAGGGAACGTACCTCGGTTGCAGTTTGTCCCCAGCCCTGGTTGGTCGTGCGGGTGGCAGCCACTCGATGTGTCCCTTTCACGTCGATGTCTCTCTCTCTCTCTCTCTCTCTCTCTCTCTCTCTTCCTCTCTCTCCCTCCCACTCTATCTGAACAAAAAATGGAAAAATGTCCTCAGGTGAGGATAAAAAAAAAAAAAAAAATGGGTAGATGCCTTGGCTGGTTTGGCTCAGTGGTTAGAATGTCGGCCCATGGACCAGAGAGACCTGAGTTCAGTTCCTGCTAAGGGCCTGTACCTCAGTCGCAGTTTGTCCCTGGCCCCAGTTGGGGTCGTATGGGTGGCAACCACTTGATGTGTCTCTCTCACATCGATGTTTTTCTCTCTCCCTTCCTCCTTCTCTCCCTCCTGCTCAATCTGAAGATAAATGCAAGAATCCTCGGATGAGGATAAAAAAAAAATGGGCAGAGGACCTAAAGAGACACCTCCTCGAAAAGGACATACAAATGGTCAAGAGACATATTAAAAAATGCTCAGTGTCACTAATCATCAGAGAAATGCCAATTAAAACAACAACAGAATGGCCGCCATCAACAAATCATCAAACAAGTGCTGGCGAGGGTGTAGAGAAAAGGGGACTCTAGTACACTGCTGGTGGGAATGCAGACTGGTGCAGCCACTATGGTGTTATCTCAAAAAGTTAAAAATTGAACTTCTATTTGACCCAGAAGTATATTCCACTTCTAGGAATATACCCTAAGAAGCCTGAAACACCAATCAGAAAGAATATATGTACCCCTATGTTCATAGTAGCATAATTTACAATCGCTAAGATCTGGAAACAGCCCAAGTGTCCATCAGTAGATGAGTGGATAAAAAAGCTGTGGTACATATACACAATGGAATACTATGCAGCTGTAAGAAAGAAAGATCGCTTATCCTTTGAGACTACATGGAGGGACCTGGAGAGTATTATCCTAAGCAAAAAAAGCCATGCAGAGAAAGACAAATATCACATGATCTTACTTATTTGTGGAATATAATGAACAAAACAAACTGATGAACGAAATAGACCCAGAGACATAGAAGTAGGGTACAGACTGATAAACGTCCAAAGAGGGGGTGGGGGGCGGAGATAAACCACAGAACTTACACGCATGTATGTATAACCAATGGACATAGACAACAATGCTGGGGGGGGGGTAGGAGGGGGTTGTCAATGGGGGAAAAAGGAGAAACATCTGTAACAAAAATAAATTAATAAAGATAATTTAAAAAAAAAAGGAAATACTGGGTTAGAGTAAAAACTGGAAGACATGGGCTGCCCTGCGTTAAACTACTGCTTTTTCCTCAGTGCTCCTCTGTCTCAGGCTTCCAGGCCTTTGCTCATGCTGTTCCTTCTGCCTAACATGCCCTTCCCTACACCCTTCCCTGAATAACCCCTACTGGTGTTTTAAGACTCAGGTCAGGTCCAGCCAGTGTGGCTTAGTTGTTGAGCGCCATCAACCCATGCACCAAGAAGTTACCAGTTCAATTCCCGGTCAGGGCACATGCCCAGGTTGTGGGCCCAATCCCCCGTGGGGCAATGCGGGAGGCAGCCAATCGATGTTCTCACTCATCAATGTCTCTCTCTCTCTCTCCCTCTTCCTTCCTTGCTTTCTAAAATCAACAAAGAAAAAATATTTTTAAAAAACCTCAGGTCAGGCCTTGCCACCAGTGGGAATGTTTCCCTGATCTGCCTAGGTTGGGGGAACTGCCTTTCCCATGGTGTTACATAGCCCTGTGAGGACACCGGAGTCATTCATTCATTCATTCATTCATTCCACAAATGACTACTGGATGCCTACTGTGCCAGGCAGTGTGGTAGAGACTGTGGATGCATGGAATAAAAATCCAGTAACAACAAACTGGCAGTCCCTACCCTGATAAAGGTCATAAACTTCAGTGTTTATGGGGAGATGGAAAGACAAATTCAACAAATAAATACATGTACCCCCTCACTATCCAGATGTGTATCATCTGATTCAGTAACTGGCTTTGAATAATTTAAGAAAAATAAACCTCACACTACCCATTCTGTTGCTATTCTCTCTGAAAACCAGGGACCAAAAACATTTGCATCTGGAACTTGCTATCAGACCTCAAGAACCTTGTAGATTCAGGTAGTAAGAACCACCCAGAGACAAATTGGGTGCATGTTAAACAACAGGACTGTCATTTATGCTTTGTCTCCTTTTGCTGTAATGAATCATAGCCATGAGTACGACTATATGCTAAGTGTCTGTGAGCCCTCTTAGCAAATCACTGAACTTGGTGAGAAGGGCTGTCTTGGGAAACTCCCAGACACAAATTATATTATTAAGAACCTTAGGTTTTATTCTAACAACAGTGATTCTAAATCTTCATGATCTGTGTAGGTGCATCCCTCCCTCTCTATTGTGAGCTCAGGGCCTAGGACTAGAAATGTGTGTTTTAGTGAAGAGGCATTTGCTACATGCCAGGCACTGCTCTGAGCATGTGTATTTCCTCCTTTCCAAGCTGTAAACTTTTCATTTCCTTTTCTTGCCTTATTGCACTGGTTAGTACAACCAATACAATGTCAAATAGCAGTAATGAGAGCAGACATTCTTACCTTATTCCTGATCTTAGAAGAAAAACATTTAGTTTTCCCCCATTAAGTATGAAGTTACCTGTAGGTGTTTTTGTTGAGAGTTTTGGGGTTTTTTTAAATGTTTATCTTGAATGAATATTGAATTTTGTCAAATGCTGCTTCTGCATCTATTGAGATGATCATATAGTTTTTCTCTAAAAACTATTAATTTATTCAATCCTCCCAATAACCTTATAAGTAGATACTGGATTGACCGCTCATTTCTTTCTTTCATTCATTATTATTATTATTTTGGATGAAAAAACTAAAGCACAGAGAGGTTCAGAAAGTTTCCCAAAGTCACACAGCTTTTAAGAGTAAAACCAGACCCTGGCCAGTTTGGCGCAGCGGTTGGAGCGTCGGCCTGCGGTACTGAGAGACCCGGGTTCAGTTCCCGCTAAGGGCACGTACCTCGGTTGCAGTTTGTCCCCGGCCCTGGTTGGTCGTGCGGGTGGCAGCCACTCGATGTGTCCCTTCACATTGATGTTTCTCTCTCTCTCTCTTCCTCTCTCTCCCTCCCGCTCTATCTGAACAAAAAATGAAAAAATGTCCTCGGGTGAGGATAAAAAAAAAAAGAGTAAAACCAGGATTTGAACCAAGGCAGGCTGGCATTAGTGCCCACATGCTTCACCACCAGTCTCACTACCACCAAAATAACAAGTCCTTGTGCCTGGTTACAGCAAGCTCTGGAAATGGTTCCTAAGAGTTTAACAGGCCCCAGCTTGACTCACCAAAGTACTGCGGAAGGTTGGTATCAGTGACTTTCCCTGCCTCTCCTAACTGCACCATGATCTTGGTGGCATCGCAATTGATTTTATTAAAAAGATTCTTCACTGTGCTCTTGAGATAATCCAAGGTCTGGCTGATCTCCTTGTAGTTGCTCTCATACATATCCGCCTCTTCGGTGGTCTTCTTTAGTTTCTCCTGGTGGCAGACCCCGAATCCCAACCCAAGTCAGCCAGGCTGCTACCCTGGGGTCAGCCCAACCCTGAAGATTTTCAACTGGGTATGAGGGGTCAGGACCTTCTGGGGCCAGGGTCTCCAAACTTCAGGTTTTCAAACCTCAAAGGGGGAGCAAGATCAATTTAATGAGTCTCAATCAGCATTTTAAAAAATGAATTAAATAGAACAGAAAAGAGAGAAAAATAGTAGTATGCATTGCAGTTAACAAGGGTAAGTACTGTTTAATGTTTTATTTTACTTACATATATGTATATGTCTATATATGTACTGAATTAGTTTTATTTGTTTTTTTATTAAAAGATAGTGACTCATTTTTTTTTTTATCCTCACCGGAGGACATTTTTCTATTTTCTGTTCAGAAAGAGTGGGAGGGAGAGAAAGAGAGAGAGAGAGAGAGAGAGAGAGAGAGAGAGAAACATCGACATGAAAGGGACACATCGAGCGGCTGCCACCTACACAACCCAACCAGGGCCGGGGACAAACTGTAACCAAGGCACATGCCCTTAGTGGGAACCGAACCCGGGTCCCTCTGGACCGCAGGCCAACGCTCTAACCACTGAGCAAAACAGGCCAGGGTGATAGTGACTCATTTTTTTAAAATCGTGGCCTATAGGAAGAAATACATTTTATATTTACAGGCTAATACCTACGTACCTACATACATATGTGTGTGTATGTGTGTGTTTATATATATTATCTAATCACATAAAATTCAAGTTTCACAAATCAATATTCTTATTATGTGTTCTAACATTTTTTGTTCTGTTCTGTTCTCTTCTGTCTCATTATTTTTAAAGGCTGGTTGCAATCCAACAAACCAATTTCATCACTCACAGCCAAAAACACATTGCTCTAGCCCAGTGGTTCTCAAAGTGGGGTCTTAGGATCAGCAGCATCAGCTTCAGTGGGGAACTTGTTAGAAATGCAAGCTTTTGGGCTGCAGTCCAGACTAAACCAGAGGCTCTGGGGGTGGGCCCGGCAATCTGTGTTTTAGTGAACCTCCAGTAATTCGAACGCACAGTGGAGTTAAAGAACCACTGCGAGTCCATTGGATTGCGATCTTGGCTTCAAGTTACTATCATCTAGGAGCTTTAAAATATTTGCCGTGCAGACCTCAGTCTCAGAGATTCAGAGGTGCTGGTCTGGGGTGCAGCCTGGGCTCAGAGCCACTGCTCCTAGCGCGAGCGCTCTAATGCCTCCTTCGCCTCCCTCTGCGTCTTCAGCTTGCAAAGGTGAAATGGGGCTTGTGAGGACTGACTGTATTCCCCAGGGCTCTGACTCAGCTAACCATGAGTGGTTGGCACTATCTGCACACCCATTTTCCAGGTGAAGAAACTGAGGCTGCAAGGCCCACAAGCAGGAGAGGGAAGCCAGGATTCCAACTGTCTCTCAACCTCTGCACCAGGCAGCTTCCTGTCCCAGATAGCTACGAGAATGTTCGGTTCTCAGGGCTGCCTTTCCTCATAAGACTTGCCCTCTTGTTCTAAAGGTGCATCAAAAGTTCACAATTTAAAAAAAAAAGCCTCTGTGATGGTTCAATACCTAAAAGGTATTCCAGGCAATTTACATGTATCATCTCAACTCATTCTCACAGCTGACCCTGTTTTCAGATGAAGAATATTGAGGTCAGAGAAGTGACCTTGTTTTTAACTCCCCTACATCAAGTTGTTTAAGTAACTGACTTTGGGCTCAACTCTTTATTTGGACAATTATTAGTAACAAGGTGGAAGTAACAGCCCTACGAAGTAAGAATGACTATTATCCTCATTTTACAGGTAAGAAAACTGAGGCTCAGAGAGGCTGCATCACTTTCTCAAAGTCACACAGCTAGGAAGTGACTTTTCTTTTCTTTTTTTAAACCCTTACCCGAGGATATTTTTCTATTTATCTTCCGATAGAATGGGAGGGAGAGAGGGAGAGAAAGGGAGAGAGAGATAAACATCCACGTGAAAGGGACACATTGACTGGTTGCCTCCTGCATGACCTGCACCAGGGCTGGGGAGGAACCACAACCGAGGTATGTGCCCTTGACCGGAATCGAACCCGCGACTCACTGGTTCGTGGGCCGACGCTCTAACCACTTAGCAAACTGGCCAGGGAAGGAAGTGACTTTTCTGAGAGTCATAACCAAGCATTTGTTCCCAGGGCCTGGTTGCTTAACTCCTATGCAAAACCCTCCAATTCAGAGACTGTTCCCGCTACCTCTCCCTAAGCATCAGGAGATGATGAAATGGAATGTGTGTGGCAAAGTTCCAAAAATAGAGCAGATGAAAGTGATTTTTAGGGCTAAGAAAGCGTCTTGTGAGCCTATGGTTATTAAAACAAATTCTCCTGCTTAAAATATTTGCATTTGAAAAGGCCTTCAGAAGTCCCATTAAAACCAAAGGAAGGAAGAGCTGATGGTGGGAGAGATGCTTGGGGAGGATCTCCTTGGACTTGGGCCCTGCCTGGAAGTCATACCTGGACTACTCCTGGGGGAGGCCTTTCGGAGCTGCAGCAGCTCAATGAACAGCATGTGCTTTGCTGCCCCCCAGTGGCCCACTGGAGAATGGCACCACTATCGCTGATTACCAGGTGCATGCCAACAACCGAAATAAACCTCAGAGAAGGGAAGGGAAATGACCAGGGAACACAGTTCCTGGGCCAGAAACCATTGGATTAAAATGGGGCTTTAGAGTTAAGTCTCTGAGTTCACATCTTTGGCAGATGTTTGCTATACATTCTCCCTTTATACCTTGACAACAAAACCCTGACTGTATTTAGGGTGGCAGTATGAGCAACTAAAAACTATATTTCCACCCCTCCTTGGTAAGAGGGATGGCCAGTGATGTGTAAACGCAGAAGTCACTGGCTGAGACTTCAGGGAAAGAACTTTTAAGCTGGCTGACTCAACCAGAAGGGCGTGTTTCAGCCTTATCCACTTTCTTCCTGTCTTGAATGTATATGTTATGGCTGGACCCACGACTCATCGGCAGCCATACAACAATTATGAGGCAACCTTGAGAATGTAAGCCACACACTAAGGGTGGCAAAACAAAAAAAGAGAAGCCTGGGTCAATGATGATATCATGATCAGCCCTGAAGGGCCCATTTTCAGGCTTATTTCTTAACAAAGTATATACACTTCTAACCTGATTAGGCCACAGTTATTTTGGGTCTGTGCTACTGGCAACTAAATACAATGCAAAGCTCATACAATGTATCAGCTCCATGAGGATGGTCAAGTGATTTTTTTCCTCTCTAAACCTCAGTTTCCTCATCTGTAAAATGGAGCACCTACCAAAAAGGGCTGCTGTGAGGATTAAATGAGATAGTGCAAGCAAAGCATTTGGCCTAGTACCTAGTATGTAGTAGCTACTCAAGAAATGTTTGTAATAACTATTATTGAGAACAGGCTACAGCCAGGACAAGGGGGAAAAAGAAGACTGAGGCAGAGATCTGTCTGGAATTTGCCAGCCTGGGATGAATTTATAGGAGGCAAGGGTCTGGGCTAGACTCCCTGAAGTGGGGGAGTCTTTAAAGTGGACAAAGAGGCCCTAGGGACAGAATTCTGCAGCAATACCTGTAGCAGAAGCTGCCTGTGACAAAGGGACCTGTCAAGACATGACTTGGGCCAATAGAGAGTCATGGGGCAGGTATCTTACTCCTCCTGAGAACCAAGTTACAGGCTGCCTGACAAACCGACAGGCAGGCAGGCAGATAACGGAGACTCCTGCATCCCCCACTCCCATCCTGGTCTTACCTCCAGCTGTCTCAGGACAGAGTGGTTGTCATCCTGGGATGTTTTCTGCTGGGACTCCAAGCGGATGATTTCATTCTGCTCAAAAAACCAGACCACAGGAAAAGTGGGTGCTCTCCTCCCCACCTCACTTGAAAATTCGCTTGAACCTCGCCTCCAGGAATTTATGAGGATTTCAATAATCCAATCGAAGGAGCCCAGAATCCCTGAGCCCCTCGTATGCCCCTGAGTTTAAACCAAAATGTTCTAAAGATTTTTAAATAAAAGTTTGGAAACTACTGCTCTAGTGCAAGTAGTCACTCTACAGATGAGGAGACCGAGGCCAGAAAGAACCAGAATTTGGTCATCTTTCATCAGACACATTCGTCCCGGTGCCAGAGATAGTCTGTGTGGCAAGAAAAGGAAAGGAGAGCGCCCGCAAGGTGAATGGGAAGGTCAAGGTTAATTACCCTTTGGGAACCGTTTGCTGGTGCCTCCCATTGTGTGCAGGCCTTTCTGGCATCAGGAATTCACAGGGAATACACTGTGAGCTGAACGCTCCATCCATCCCAGAATCTACCCAGTTCCCTTCCCCGCCCTACCCTCTGCCCCACACGAGGGGCTTCCTTGCCCGCTGGCTTGGGTTGGGCCCAGCCCAGAGAGACACCCGCTGGGGATTACAGGGTAGGAGAGTAAAGTTGGGGGGTACTTGCCCACTCCTTGGACCACATCCCTCCAGGAAGGACAAATTCATCTTTCTCCACGCACCTCTCTCCTGAGTCCAGAAACTGCCCCCCCTCCCCAGTTCTGGGGCCCTCTCTTCTTGCTGGTGCTGCACTCTCCCTTTTTAATCTCCCTACATCTTCAGAAACAGTCCCTTTTTTTTTTTTTTTTTTTTTTTATCCTCACCCGAGGACATTTTTCCATTTTTTGTTCAGGGAGAGTGGGAGGGAGAGAGAGGAACAGAGAGAGAGAGAGAGAAACATCGATGTGAAAGGAACACATCGAGTGGCTGCCACCCACACAACCGACCAGGGCCGGGGACAAACTGCAACCGAAGTACGCGCCCTTAGCGGGAACCGAACCCGGGTCTCTCAGGACCGCAGGCTGACACTCTAACCGCTGAGCCAAACCGGCCAGGGCCAGAAACAGTCCCTTTTAAAAAACTCACCTCAATTTACACATTTGGGGCAGGCCATCTGTGTCCTGTGACAACCCAAACTGATACAACCACCTCCATTTCCGCCATTTTTGCATGCCACCTGTACTCTATTAATATTATCTATTAATCTATATTATTTATTAACCGTCTTTAATTCAACCAAATTTTGTGTATTTTATTATGTTGATCAGTATTTGTTTACTATTATTATTACTTATCACACTAATAATGTCCAAGTCACAAGTTTGCTCTGCAAGCTATATTTTTCCTAATCCTCATTAATATTAATTCGTCACTAGTAAATTAAAAGCGTCACCTATATATTCTAGCTACTATCTGCTTGTACATTGCCAGCAGACAAGTCACACCTTCAGGAAAGAGTGACATTACATAAGGACATGTCTCCTCTAGTCGTATAAACAGAGCACTGGGACCCCAGAGGGAAGAATAATGAACTCCCAGAGGAGGTGACATTTGTGCAGGGCTGGGACTAATGATCAGTATTTCATCGGAAGAAAACCAAGGGGACGGGGAGGAGGAAACAGCGCAAGGAAAGTCTCAGAGGAGGGAAATGCACGGGACAGTTGGGACTGGCAGCTGCAGAGGGTGCCCCGGGGGTCGTAATGGCAACTGCAGAAAAAGGTTAAAGCCAAATTTTGAAGAGTCTGGAGTGTCACACTGGGTTTAGACTCTATCCCTTGCTCTGGGGAGGAAGTAGCCCAGGCAGCCAAATAAGTTTGGGAAATGATGTGTTCAACAAAGACAAACAGGTTTCTTTACCACAGGACTTGTCAGAGCATTTACCATGCTCATGTACATCAAGTCTCTCCGAGATGAATTGACCATCTCTTCTCAATTCTGTGAAGCTGCTGATGAGCAGAGGTCAGTGAGCGTTTAAGGCAAAGGGCCAGGTAGTAGATATTTCAGGTTTTACAGGCCACGTATGGTCTGTCTTGCATATTACTCTTTTATTTTTATTTTTTTTTCTTATACCCCTTACAAAATATAAAAACCACTCTTAGCTCATGGGCTGTGTAAAAACAGGCTACAGGCTATAGTTGGCCATGGCTGTCGTTTACTGAACCCTGGATTATAAAACATGCCATGGACTATCAATGTCACTTGGAGTGAGGGGATATGACCACATTAAGTGTGCATATCAATTGAAAGACAAATACCAATTTCAGAACGGCTAAAATGCAAGGGCGACACTGGGGGAAATGTAGTGTTTCTCAGACTGATTTGACCTTGAGGCACCTTTTGCCAAGAGCCTCTCAAGGAGTGTTTCGAGGAGCCCCCACTGGGGAAGGCTGCTGGGGGAGTAGGCGGGTTTCGGCCCAGGAAAGGAGAGCTGCCCTGACCTGGATTTTCTGAATCTTCTTGTGCATCATCTCCATGTCATTGTTGAGCTCTGTGACATACGTGAACCGAGCAAAGTTCTTCTCCTCCTTGGCCAGAAAGTCCTCAATGAGCTGATTCAGGTTCCCATTCTCAGTCAGCTTCAGCAGCCGGAGGTGGGCTACCTCGTAGCTCTCAATACTCTCAGCATTGCTCTTCTTCCCTTGCTTCTTTACCTTAAGAGCTAGAAAGGAAAAATCAGCAGCAGTGAGTCTGAAAAGGAAAACACTCAGTGCAGTGCCCAGCAGAGATATTCTCTGTGCTTTTAGTGTGCCTTGAGGAGGAGGCTAAACTTTCCCAGGAGATGGGGCAGGAACTTCACTCCTAAATTGCTTCACAAATATCTAAATGAACACCTACTATGTGCCAGACACTGAGCAGGGCTCTGTGGATACAAAGTCTTTGCCCCATGGAGCTTTGGTGGAGGAATCAGGCAAAAAGAAAAAGAGATAACCAAGTAAACAGAAAAGGAAATTCAATAACTACCATTGTGGCCTGAGCAATGAAGGAGACCCATCAGGTGCTGTGATGGGGGAGCAGGATGGTCAGGGAAATCCTCTCAAAGAATGAGACATTTGAGCAGGATAAAATTCAAGAAAACTCTGGGGATAGAGAGCCTGAAACAGGCTCAGAACTTGGCAAATTCATGAAGTTAGAACCACAAAGTTCTCCAAACCTTGTTCTCTCCAGCCTGGATATCTGCAATAGCCCCAACTCTCCTGAACTCAGTCTTATTTTCTGATTTGGCTCCCACATAGCAATTAGAGGAATCTTTCTAGGCATATCTGGTCATATGACCCCTTTACATGTTGTGCCTCTCTACTGTCCTTGGGATGAAGCTAAAGCTCCTCAGCATGATTTAAAATCTGGTCTCCTCTACTCCAAGGAGAGTGTACCTTCTTCCTTTTTGGCCTGCTCCTCGAACTCCATACGGTCATTCAGCTTGATGAGCAGGAAGGATTTGAGCTTGGTCTCATGGGCATAGACGCGCTCCAGCTCTCGGATCTCCGCGTTGTACTGAGAGATGTCCTTCTGCTGGCGATCATTCATGGCAGCCATTCGAGCCATGGCTTCCAGTCTGGGTGAAGGGGGTACAGAGCCTGCTTGTCCAGAGGATCCTCCCTTCTTCTCCCCTCCCTGTACCAGCCCAGAGGGATTTTCTGCCACTGACAATTACTTCTTTTAATGAGAGGGTGGAGGAATAACCCCCTTTACCTGAATGACAGGAGCTACCAGCTCTAGACTACCCCTAGGAAGTTATTCTTCTATCATCATCATCACCACCACCATCATTACTGTCACCACCATCACCATCATCACCACTTTTCATACTATGTCCCAGACACTCCTTAACACACATATTTACGCTTTACTACCACTCAAAGCGGTCCTACAACAATGTGGTACTGTTGGAGCCAGGATTTAAACCCAGATCTTGCTGACTCCAAAACATGTGCTCTTCACAGCTAAACTGTATACCTTTTGCCCCTGAGAGTATAAAGCTAGGAGACAGCTCAGACTGAGAGAAACCCCTACAACCAGATGCAGGGCCACCTGGAGGAGATAGTAGACCATAGATATTTGAATCTCCGCTCCACCACACCTGCCATTTACGTGGATCTCAAGTGTTTTGGCATCTCTAAGCCTCCGCTTCCTGGTCTGTAAAATGGGGATATAACTCCTATGGCATTTGTGAAGGTTGAAATATTACTCAAAGCACCTAGCATCAGGCTTTGCACACATTCAGAGCTTAGAGATATTATTATTTAAGGTCTCAACACTTAAGCACAGGAAGCAGTGGTGGCCCAGTGTGGGAAGTTAGATGTTCAGCAGGAGGCTGAGAGACATTTTTGCCTGAGGATCTCTCCCTCACCCACCTCTGCTTATAGGCCTGAGCAGACTGCTCAATGGCCACATTCATGGTTTTCTTCTGCATCGACAGGCGCCGACGGAGTTGCTGGTAGACATTATCATAAGCAGCCTTCTCATAACGTAGGTCCTCAATCTCCTTCCGGAGCTTTGTATTGGTGGTCAGCATCTTGTCAAACTGTACGGTGACCTGTGGGGAGGGCTGTGCTTCAAAACAGGGCTCATTCCTGGGACATGAGATGAGCTTCCAGGAGGCAGCCAGAGGGTTGGGAGGTCTCCCCCAGTCTCCCACCCCAGGTCCACAGAATAGTGGTTTGGAGCACCGGGTGAAAGGCGTAAGCTGGCCACCAACTGGCTCAGTAGTCTTTGACAAGTTACTTTTCCTGGATTGCACATTTCTCACATACTTTTATACCTAACATCTAGTTTCCAGTAATTACAAGGGAGAGGGGAACAAGCTAAATGATACCATGAGGAACAATCAACCTAATCCAGAAAGTAGAACTTTCTATAGGACAACTGACCTGGTCTCTTCACCATGTTGATAACCTGAAAAAGTTGGGATGGGGCTTCTCAAACTCAGCCTGTTGACATTTTTGGCTGAATGATGCACTGTGGTGGAGGCTGTCCTACCTATGCTATGTAGAGTATGAAAGAAGCAAGGCACTACTGAATTGACTCAGGAAGAAACAGAAAATCTGAATAGACAACTAACAAAAGGCCAACCTCTACAGACACGTCATCATTAAATCATGCATGCATTTTTTTTCTTTATTGATTTTAGAGAGAGAGAAGGGAGAGGGAGAGAGAGATAGAAACATCATTGAGAGAGAACATTGACTGGCTGTATTCCCCTCCCCGGGGATTTGGCCCACAACCTGAGCATATGCCCTGACTGGGAATTGAACCTGCGACCTCTTGGTGCATGGGTCGACACTCAACCACTGAGCCACATCAGCCGGGCAGCATGAATTATTAATTAATTCATTCAATCAACAGATGTCTGCTGAGCACCTATTCTTAGCCTCACACTGTGCCAGGCATTAATGATTCTTAACCCAGGGGATCTTTGGCCTCATGAGGGTTGTTAATAATATTGCAGATGCCCAGGGGTTCTGATTCCGTGACTGTGGAGGGGACCCAAGAACCTGCATTTTAACACACATCCTAAGCATGCTGAGGCATGGCTGCAAATCGCTGTGCAGGGAGAGTAAAGAGATACTGCCCTGACCTCAGGCAGCCTCCACGCTACTGGGAGAGGCAGATGGAGACCAGGTCAAATCTGCTTCACCTACTCCTGGTTAAAGCTTGGTGGTCAGAGTTTTGGGAAAGCGAAGAGCTTTGTGTAGTGAGTTAGTGACAGGCTTCCCTCCAAGCCAATTCACTTTCCTTCTCTTCTGGCTCATGTCCTGGGAGCTGCAGTTTCACTAGCCAGACTGAAATGTGTTGTTTGTACCCGCCCAACACTCCTTCTCCCTTTCTTTCTGCTCTTCTAGGGGAGCCACTTCTCCCTGACTCTCATACCACAGAGTTGGACAGGGCTGCCCTCGCCAGTTGGCAGGGGGAGGGCAGTCCAAGGGTCCATGTGACTCCAGGCCATGTATTCCATTCTTCAGACCACAGTAATTGATTCACGGATGGGCACATGACCCAAGCTGGCCCAGTGGGAACCCTGGGACTGGGATTAACTCTTAGCGGGGAGATGCTCACTTTCTGCTGGTGTTTGTTTACACTGGGGTTGCTCAAGGATGACATCCACCCAGAGCAGAGATGGACAGATAAAGTGTCCTAAAGACAGGTTTGGAGCACCTGGATCCACCTATGCCTGACGGTACCACTTCCTCCCTAAATTTTTCACTTCTAAGACCAATACATTACCTATTTTCGCTTAAACCAGTTTGCAACTAAATCCTGCAAAATGCCAAAGTCATGGTACATTGAAGGTGACCAGGAAACACCCCTTTCTTTTCATCAACTTATGCATGTCCATGCCTAATATTCCTCAGAGACAGCAGTGACTACCAAAAGGCACTAGCTCTAATAGAGGCATGCGCAGATATGCACGGGGGAGGACGGTCTAACTAGTTCTGCCTGGCGACTGGTATTATTTGAGCTGCTTCTTGGAAACAAGTAAGGGTTTTTGAAGCAGGGAACTAAGAGTAGGCATCCCCAGAAGCAGGGGTGGGGTAGAGGTATGGGGACAACAGCATGTGCTAAGGTGCAGAGAGCAAGAAGAAAGGCACCTTGGTGACAATGGGCTAAGCAGAGGATGAAACAGAGAGGGTGGAACACAGTGAGCGGATGGTAAATTCGAACGGGCTGCCTGGTCCAGACGTACAGCATTAGTTCACCACCTCTTGAGTCACCTACTAAATGAGTACCTTCTGCCAATGGCGTCACAGACATCATTCTGTGCCGTGAGCAAAGGGAGGTGGAGCTATTTGCAAAACTGCAGAGAATGACTTACGTACAAGATTCAAGCGCGTCTCTAACACGTGGATCTGTTTTTGCAATTTCCGGGGGTTGTTGGCCTCCTGCATTTTTGTGAAGATCTGTTTTTGGTTTATAATTTTTTTTTCCATCTGAATAATCTGGAAAAAAGAAAGAAAGAAAACCCAGCTGTGTTAACATCTGTATGGGTACGCATTTGACAATTCACTAACTTGAGTGTGCTCGAACAGAAACTGCACTGTTCCTTCTTTTCCTATAAGTGGAATTTTAATTTCTCTCTCAGGTACATGCTAAATTCAACTTGATCTTAGCCAGTTTGGGGTAAAATGAGGTAATTTAGAGTTTTTGCTCTCACCTGTTTATGTAAATTTCACTCACCCGTTGGCGTCAACGCCACCTTACCCTGCACCATGGTTTCCCCCAGGAATTTTCCAGCAGGGATTTTCCCCTCAGCGGGCCTTCTGTAACCTTGTGGAGTGTTTTTGGGCTCTTGCAATGACAGGACCCTAGTGGCATTTAATGGGTGGGTCATGAGATGTCACACATCCTGCAATAGCACCAGACACCCAAGAATTGTCCCCCATCCTTTGTGACTGTCCAGTGCCCTTCTGAATGTTATACAGGTGGGGGAAAAAAAACCCTCTCTAATTTTCTGTACCTAGAATCAAACTGTCCTCTACATGTAAACACACAGTATTTTTCATTTGGTTCTAAAGGACACTAAATTATCCAGGAATGTGGTCACTGTATAAATCAAGAGAAATGCTCTTTGATTTGCTTGGAACTTCACCAAGCATTGGTCACCACTTTGGAAATCATGTTACCAGCACAACCTGGATCATGAGATGACAATAAGCCCGAATCAGTCTGCAGGTAGAATGCTCAGTGATTCTGCATGTTGATAGTATGCCACTGACTAGATCTTTTAGATCAGGAGTCTGCAAACTCCAGACCCTTGGCCAAATCCAGCCCACTGACTCTGTGTAAATAAAGTTTTATTGACAGCCAGTCATGCTCCTTCTTTGATTATTGTCTATGGCAGTCTTCATGCTACAAATTCAGAGTGAAGTAGTTGCGACATGGCCCACAAAGCCAAAACATTTACTATCTGTCCCTCTGCAGAAACAGCTTGCTGGCCCTGTTCTAGATAAGTTGGGCCAGAACATTCACATATCAAAATACATAATTTTATATTTACATAAATAATTTTAGTATAAACGTTTGTTGATTTCTTCTTTATATTATTGTGAGAGCACCATATTCATTTAAAAGACTTAGTAAGGGTAAAGGATTATATTGTCTATGAATTTCATTTCAGGATTGTGAAGGAGAAGTTACAAAATATTTACTGTCTAAAGGGGTGTTGGCAGACACAACATTGAGGGGAAGAAGTCAGACAAAGAGCACGGTTCTAGAACAAGACATTTACATGCAGGCATAATTCTAGGGGTCAGGAGAAGGGTTTGGAGGGTGGGTAATGGAAGGGGACCAAGGGAGCCTTCTGGGTGCTTGAATGTTCTCTATCTTGATCTCGGTGATGGTTGCACGGGTATATCAATCTGTACAATTCATCGAGCTGTACCCTTAAACTGTGTGCACTTGCCTGTGTATAATTAGTAATTCAGCAGAAGGAGGGAGGGGGTAAGAGAGGAAGTAAGGAAGTTATCTGAAGGAAGGAAGGAAAAGAAATGGGTGTTGGGAGTGACAGGGTTCAGTACCACTGTCCTCAGGGACCCACGAGCGGATCCCTGTGTATCTGCAGCTCCCTTCCTGCTGGAGAGCCTGGGTTTCAGTCAGACTCTGGAGACAGCAGTTTTGGTGGAGGGCATGTTACTTCCACCACTAGAAGTGGTACTGGAGATAATGCCTCGCCTGGGAAGGGAAACAGGGTGCAGACACTTCCTTCTAGACAATTCTGGAAAGGGGGAAAGCTGGCAGTAATTTGGAATCGCAAGAGTGTTGTTGTTTCGTTGTTGTTGTTTATGCTTGGTTTTCAAAGAGTTTATTAATTTTTTTTTTTTTAGGATAAAAGAGACAAGGAGAATAGAATGGTCACTGATGAGCCGGGTCTTCACGGGGGAGGGAGCCGAGGGGACCTAACACGAGAGGGGCCTGGCCATGCAGAAGGGCAACGGGCACCCCTTCCTCTGAAGATGCAGACGGAGCGGAGAAAGGATGCAGAGGAAGGCGTGGCTGCCACAATCTTTTAAAGCAGGTAAAACAACACTGAGGCCACCTATGTCCAGAGGATTTCTTGCTAAGTGAAAAAAATTAATATCCTAAATGCAATGTGCTGCCCTGGACTGGGCCCTGGAACAGTGAAAAGACACTAATGAAAAATCTAGAGAAATATGAATAAAGTCTGTAGTTCAGCTAATAGTATTGTGCCCATATTAATTTCCTATTCAAATGTCCCAGGATAGCCCTAGCCGGTTTGGCTCAGTGGTTAGAGCATCGGCCTGCAGTCCAGAGAGACCCAGGTTCAGTTCCCGCCAAGGGCATGTACCTCGGTTGCAGTTTGTCCCCGGCCCTGGTTGGATTGTGCGGGTGGCAGCCACTCGATGTGTCCCTTTCACGTCGATGTTTCTCTCTCTCTCTTCCTCCTGCTCTATCTGAACAAAGAATGAAAAAAAAAAAAAAACAAATGTCCCAGGATAAGGTGAGGTGTTCACATTAGGAGAAACTAGGTGAGGGGTATATGAGAATTCTGAACTACCTTTGTAACACTCCTGTAAATTTAAAATGATTCCAAAATGTAAACTTTATTTTAAAAAATAATTGATCAGTATATATTATTCTGGTCCACACTCCTCTTGGGTGTTATATGTTACCTGCAGCCAAAAGCATCCCTAACCGACACACCATGGATGTTACCCAGGAGGATAATGGATTCTGATTTCAAGTAAGTGAAATACACCCTGCCACGGGCAACAGGAAAGAATTTTAGTATCTCTCTCTACCCTTGCGACTCCAGCCAAGTTCTCTGGGCCCAAACATTCTCTGTCACCTCTCCAGAGAGCGCAGATCATCGTTTCTCATACACACACTGGACAAAGTCATTTCTGAGCACAGCCAAGAATGTGCATAACCAATTCGCGGTGCAGATTTCATCCACGCCCCGCAAGGATGAAAGCATCTGCCAGTACTTTGCCCCATCTAGACAGCTGGCTCATGCTAAATCCTAGAAGGTTGTAGAGCAATGTACAGAACTGTTATCTGGGGGGAAATGCCCTTAAGAACTGGTGAGGGCTGGGGAGTGTCAGAGGTGCTTTCTCTCCTTAGAGTTCGGGCTGAGACTCAGTGCTGAGAGTCTTCTTGGAACCCTGGTAAGTAAAGGCAGCAGAGCGATGAAGGGAACATTCATTTGAAACAAGCTGGTGTGTTCTTATTTGTCTAGACGTAGTGGCTGGAATTTGCCTTTGAAGACAGCCTGAACCCTGACTTCTGTTCTGGAATTGAGAGGAGGAAGGTTAGGTGCTTGGTGTGGTAAAACAAAATTTGTCACCACACGGAGGCCAGCCTCTGGCTGGGAGCAAGGAGCCCCTGGGCAGAGCGGAGGCTGATGAATTCTGGGAGTAGTTGCATCTGTGATCCTGTGTTAGTGTCCCTGTGAGTTTGAATTCCTTTGTTATCCCCAAGCCTTCAGGAAAGTCTATACAGCACAATCTCAGACATCACCATGGTACATTGAAAAATACATATGCCAGGGGTTGTAAACTGTGGCCTACAACTATGGTAGGCAGCATCGTGGCATAATCTTTAGTTTGCTGGTCTAACACAAACCAATTATGAAAATTCCATTTCCCTTTGCCAGTGATTGACCTAGAAGTGGGCATATACCTTAGCCTTGCTTAATGAGAGAAAAATCTGCTGAGAGATTTTCCAGCAAAATCCATACAGCAAGATTTGTGAGATGTTCTTTCCCTCATAAGCAGAGACTGTTATGTAAGAAAACTTCCCATCCCTTCTTCATACCTCAATGTGACTATATGAGAAGCTACACCAGCTAAACTTCGGCAGCGACCTTGTGACCATGAGCGGAGGGCCAACCAACAGGATCAGAAAGAAAAAAACCAACCCATCATTATAGAACTGTTAAACCATCCATGGTATGGCCTACTTCCAGACTGACATCTATTTTTTTTTAGATAGAATGGAGTGGGGGGGGGGGGAGAGAGAAAAAGACATTGACGTGAGAAAGACACATTTATTGGTTGCCCCTCACATGATTCCGACTGGGGCTGGGGATCGAACTGCAACCCAGGTACATGCACTGGACTGGGAATCGAACCCGTGACTTTGAGGTCCTTGGGCTGACGCTCTAACCCCTGGGCCAAACTGGCCAGGGCCAGACAGACATCTTATTATGTGAGAAAAACAAACCTCTATTCTCTCAACAGCTTCCAGCCAAGAATTCTGTTACTTGCAGCCTAACACATTCTCATTGATACATCAATCACAACATGGCAGCTTAGATGATCATCCATCAAGAGAACCACTGAGTCTCACACAAACTGGCAGGGCAAATGAATGGTGTTTGCCATCGATATTAGTCAGACTTTGGACTGCACCTGAGACACACATACCGTTCCTTACAAACTCCCTCAGGGCAAGAGGCAAACTAAGAGCGTCATCAACCCTGACAATGTCAGGTCCAAGTCAAGTCGGGTTCCCTGTTCTACCTACTTTGTTCTCCCCTCCTGTTCCACGCAGCAGCCTCACCACAACCCCCCACCAGCTCACCTATGGAATAAAACAAATGACTGGTCTAAAGATATGGGAAGGCAGCGTCTCCAGACGGTGGTGTCACCTGCTCTGAAGGGATGCCCTCCCCTCCTGGTTGGCCCTGGAGTCCTCAGGCTCCAGCTCCTTGTCAAAGAAAGCGGCTGCGTCAGCATCTCCCCGTGGCTCCTGTGATTAAATTCAGTGTCCTACTCTCTTTGGCGCCTTTATGTCAGATGCTGCTTTTGTGATGCTGAGAGTAATTTGGCCTCAGCCCAATGGGAGACATTATCCAAGGCCGTGCTGTCGGAAATGGATTGCCTACACAACACGCTCTTCCCCAGCATGGAGGCGCAGGCTTATTAATTGTTTTGTGAGGACAGCCGGGGCTGCTAAGGGCCCTGCCACCACTGACCTCTTGCAAGGACAAAGTTCTGGGCACTGTCTGAGGGACAGCAGAAGAGGATTCTGGGATCTGCTCACCATGGGATCAAATTAGGCAAAAATGGTTTTTGCATTGGGCAGTGAGCACCATGTTCTTTTTTTTTTTTTTTTTTGGTAGGTGCCCCTAGCGGGAACCGAACCCGGGACTCTCTGGCCCACAGGCTGACACTCCAACTGCAGAGCCAAGCCGGCCAGGGCTGCACCATGTTCTTTTGAGGATCCCACACTAGGTTGCCTTTTCCTAATGTTTATAAGGACCCATGTCCCATCAGTTTCTTCAGTTTTTCTCTTTCTTTACTTTTATTACCTCCTTTATTATTCACTCACTCACTCACTCACTCACTCATTTACTCATCAATGTTTATTAAACACTTGTTCTCTGCCAAACAAAAGAGGTCTGATGGTCATAAAGACTGAAGGGTCCCTGCCCTCAGGGAAGTTACAGTCTAAGACTGAGAACAAGCCATGAAGCATGATTAGCTCTAGGAGGGGGGGATATATGGTACTGTGGACACACACAGCAGGGACACCTTGCAGGGAAAGATGAAGGGGTAACTATCCTCCGCAGAAATAGCATTTGAGCTGAGACCTGAAGAATACATAGGAGTTCAAGAAGAGAGGACAAGGAAGGGCACTCCAAGCACGAGGGAACAGCATGTGCAAAGGCCTGGAAGTGAGAGACAGCATTGGGGTTCATGAAGGCAGTCAGTGTGGACAGAACACAGAGGAAGGAGGGGACCGGAGAGAAGGTGGAAGAGGCAGGAGGGGGCACAATGCAACAGAGCCAGCAAACCACGCTGGGGAGCTTGGTCTTTATCACCAGAACAACAGAAATTACTGAAGAGTTTGAAGCAGAGGAAAGAGATAATGGGATTTCCAGATTCATTCAATCAGCATTTATTGAGGACCTACTATGTGGAACAAAGCCAACATAGTCCTTGCCCTCATGGAGGTGACAGGTTGGGGGGACATTAGATGACACCTGTATTAACTCCTACTGTGAGAAGTGCTATGAAGGAGGTGCCATGTGGTGTCATGAAGAGGGTAAGGGGGTGTGCTGGGATCTTCTGTTTGCCGCCCAAGACCCATTTCCACCCACTCTGCTCATCCCCAGGAGGCTGGCCTGGAAGGGGTCCTGGAGAGCGGAGGGTAAGAAGAGAGAGAGGTGGGGGTATTTATTCCCCCCAGCTTGCTCCCTGTCTCCGGGTTCCAGACTGCCTCTCCTGTCCACTGTTGCTAACCCTACAGGGCTTCAGTGTCCCTACTCCATGCTCACACCCCTGTAAATCATCCCTTCATAAAATTCTTTTCCTACTGAGCCTGCTATTTTTTCCTGGCCAGGGACCTGACTATCACAAGGTGGATATACTTTAAACTGGAAAGAAGGCACAGAAAAGGCCTCCCTGAGACAGTCACATTTAAGATGAGAGCTAAAGGACAAGCAGCCAGGGTGACTGGGGGAGAGCATGTGCAAAGGCCCCGAGGTAAGAAAACGCTTAGCATGAAAAAATTCTTTTGAGGTAGGGTGAGATGAGTTAAGGAGGGAATGATGTGAGATGAAGCCAGAGGGGTAGGCAGGGGCTAGATCATGTAGGGATTTTCAAGCCATAGTGAGGGATATAATTATTAATGCTACTCGGCAAACATCTCTAGCTCTTTGTCTTCCAGATCCATGGGAGGGCTACACTTTCTGGACTCTCTTGTGGATAGGTAGAGTTGACTACTTTGGGTATGGGTATTTGGAGCATTTATGGGTTTGGTAGACTATTTTAAGCCAATCAATCATGAGCAGAAGTGACACATATCACTAGAGCACTCAAGTGGGAGACCATTCAAAACTCTCTTTTTCTCTACCACAACACCTGACAGTGTTCAAGATAGTAGCTATCCCATCAGCCTGGTCCTAAGATGAGAAGATACATGAGCCTCTAGCAAATCCCTGATAGACATGAAACATGAATGAGGAAGAAACTTTTATTGTTTTAAACCACTGCCCTGGTCGATTTGGCTCAGCAGTTAGAGCGTCGGCCTGCGGTCCAGAGAGACCCGGGTTCGGGTCCCTCTAGGGGCACGTACCTCGGTTGCAGTTTGTCCCTGGCCCTGGTTGGTCATGTTGGTGGCAAGCTCTCGATGTGTCCCTTTCATGTTGCTGTTTCTCTCTCTCTCTCTCTTCCTCTCTCTCCCTCCCACTCTATCTGAACAAAAAATGGAAAAAAAATGTCCTTGGGTGAGGATAAAAAATTTAAAAAATAAACCACTGAGTTTGGGGAAGGGGTGTTTGTTACTGCAGCATAACCAAACATTTCCTGACTGATACAGTAAGAATTTAGAAATGTATTCAAAGTGTAGTGGGAGGCACTGGAGATCACAGTGGAGAAATGGATCAATAGAGCTGGGAGATCAGGGATTACAAGGTGGTAGAGACAGTGACCACAGTCACATTTAGAAAAGTGAATATGGGTGGTGTCAGATCTGGCCTAAGGCATCATGGGTACTTCCCTCACCCTTTCCTTGCTCTGTGTTCTCATTAGCCCTTTAAGAGAAAGACCACACCTTCTCATCCAGTTCAGCCAACAGAACTTTCATCGATTTAATCAAAGCCTCATATTCCTCTTTGGTTTGCAGCAAGAAACGCAGCTCCATGTAGTTTTTCTCATTCAGATCCAAGTTCTTGGAGGAGTTGATGAGACTCAAAAGCAGGGTGATCTCATCCTGCTCCTCTTGCAGGGTCTTGATTTTCTCCCTGTTGGGAAAGCAATGCACGGTTAACCCTGAACCCCCAGGTTCACCTTGATCGGACACTCCAGATTCCTTCGCTGTGAAAGGAGACTCAGAGAGGTACATCCCACTAAGCAGTGGAGGGGACCTGCCCAAGTCTTCGGCCCAGGTCTAGAACTCAGGTCGCCTGTGATGCAGTTCACTGCAACTTCCACTGCTCTGCCTCTCTCTGAGCGGCGTTTCCGCCCGAGGACCAATTTGCAGCTGTGCCTGTCAAAACCCATTACCCAGACATGGTGAGAGCCCCCATGCTCTCTTTTGCCCCCAGCTCACTGGCATCTGTCTGATTTTGCAGACTTTCTTTCTGGACTTTATAGCCAATTATCTCTGATAATGAGAGGCAAACCCATCAGACAATTTCTCACATTTGCATCAACACAGTAACCTCTAACCTCTACCAGTTTCTCTCTTTGGGGTGCTAATGGTCTGTTAAATTGGCTGGTATGAGTCTCCTTTCTCTCCCTCTGTCTACTCTGGAGAAGAGAAAGGATGGAGGATGTGGGCAAACGGGGACTTCGAAAAGAGAGAAGGCTCAGGAGACTGCACAACAGGAAATGGCACAGAGGCCAAGCTTCTGGCAAACTCTGGGCACCTACACCTGCTGCTCAGTGCTGTCTGCAGACCAGCGGCCTCAACATCCCCTGGAAGCTTGGAGACATGCAGAAGCGCAGGTCCCAACCTGGGACCTACCAAATCAGAATCTGCTTTGTAACAAGATCCTTGATCCTCAAGCGACTCATATGCCCACTGAATTTTTGGTAGCACCATGCTAGAACATAGAGACTATTCTAAGGTGGGAATCTGCAAAGTTTTTTCTATAAAGGGCCAAAACATGTTGCAACTACTCAACAAACTAACCATAGGGAATGCATAAACAAATAAGTGTAGCTGTGCTCCAGTAGAACTTTATTTACAAAAACAAGCAACCAGCCAGACTTGCCCTATGGGCTGTCCTTTGCTGACCACTGTCCTAAAACCACACCATCCAATAGAACCTTCTGCAGTGATGAAAATGGTCCTAGCTGCGCTGCCTGACAGCGTCCCAGGCACATGTGGCTTTTTGAGTACTTGATATGTACCTAGTGCAAGTGAAGAATTGAATTTGAAAATGTATTTAATTCATTGCCAGTGTAAATAGCTACACGTGGCTAGGGACCACCGGAGTGCACACCCAGTTCTGGAGCAGCTAGTCTTCCCAACCTGGCAGCTGGAACTTTCCTCCGCCATTTAAGCCCCTCATGGGAGGAGGTGTTTGTAATGGTGGCCACAGTGAGGGAGCAAAAGAGTCTATCTGATTTAGGCTTTCAGAGGGGTGCGTGGAAGCAGAATGAAGGTCCGTCTGGCTTGTAGGCAGGTCTGGGACTGTGCTGTGGGTGGGTTGGGGAGGGGAGTGAGGCACAGAAAAGTTTAAGGAACTTTCACTCTCAGGGTGATATAGGTGCAGGGTCAGTACTGGAGTAAAGTACTTGCTTAAATATTGTGTCCCAGGCACCTCACTCACCGCACCCCCAGTTCTGGCACTATTTATAGGGGTTTCACTCTGAAGAACTGAAAATATCCACTTGCCTCCCTTTCAGTTCCATCACAGCGAAACCAGATCCAGTGGCTTGGGGCTGAGTAGAGGGGGTGCAAAGGAATGATTCGAGAAAAACTGTCCGAGACACACCAGGAAAGAGGCATTTCCTGATGTCCACCAGGGGCAGGCTGCGAATCAGGATCGCCGGGCACAGGTGCGCAGGCTGTGGACTGCACCGTCCAAAGGAGCGCTGTCTGCTTGGAAAAATATCATTGATTTGTTGATTCATTACCCTTTTCTGGGGGACACTTCATCTTGTTCTAACAAAATCCCTACATGCTGACAATGTTTCCAACAGATGGCAGTAAAGGCTCTTGAGAAAGGGTGCTTTTTTCTAACGGGCAAAGATCTCATATGGATTAGCAGTGACTGAGAGTCAAATCCATGGAAAATCTAAAGCACCCCTTTTCCCCATCCTCGGAACGTCACATCATCTCACCGTGAGATTTTCTTTCTAATAGTGGGCAGTTTCTGCCTGTACAAACAGGGATGGAGCTAAGGAAGTACATTCCCTTGGCCTGTTTAATAATACCTGTTTAATGTTTGTTTGTTCAGCCCGAGGGAACACCTTCCTACTGCCCAAAGAAACTATACACATCATAATTCCAAGGCTACCCGATTTCAAACATTCTATCTTGCAGATCCCGTGAGGATGCACAAGCAGTAAACATCCTTTGGGGTGTCCACTGCCTGGTGATTTTTCCTTCTCTGGGCACTCCCGGCTTCCAGCGCTAGAACCATGGGAATGATACTCATGGTCACTTTTTGTCCTATGTCCCAGTCCCACCTCCGGCCACAGCTGATTGTTCCAGGAGACATCTGACCCAAGTTGACCCAATCAGAGTCTCTCTGCTGGGACTTTGGGGTTCGAACTGATTCACAACAGTCTCTCTGTGTGGCTCTTGGTAGCTCAAGAGTGGGAGGCAGCCATCCCTCCCCAGCCACGGCTGAGATGCAGAGAGAAAGCCCACGTGTAGAAACAAGCAAGACCCAGAAATGGTTGCTCGTGTGGTCCTTCCCTGAGGCACAGGCAGCTGCTCTGCTGGGAGCCTCCGGGAACACAGCCGCCCTCCCCACTGAGCAGTCCCCAGGCGGGGTCCAGAAGCAGGTCCCTGGCCTGAAGGCAAGACCCACGAAACCCAAACCAAAATCCTCTCCAAGTTCCCTCGGGACAAAACTCGACCATCACATACTGCTGGTGAACCATCTGCTGCTGCGAGCGGAAGTTGAAGGACTTCCGGCTGTCCACCATCTTCCGGAACTGCTGCTTCAGCCTCCGAAGCTCCGCCTCGGCCAGCTGCTCCCTCTCCTTCTCCGAAGGTTCCTGGGGACGTTCGGAGGAGTCCTTTCTCCTGTGCTTCTTCACCTGGGTGAGACAGCGGGGCAAGGGCGGCAGGAGAGGTGACGAGAGAAGCCCACGCTTCAGCTCAAGGGCAGAGGAAGGGGTACCTGGGGCAAGGCTGGAGGTGGAAGAGCATCCTTGGTGATGTCAACTGCTTATGTCACATGGAAAAGTGTCCCCCACCCCAGGTTGTCAGGGTGGGAAGGAGGCTTCAGAGAGCCCCACGCTGAAGGGGTAGCCTTGCTGGGTGACCTGGGGTGAGTCACTTAATACCTCTGAGCCTCCACTCTCTCATCTCCAAAAAGAGCACCCGTGAACTTGTTGTCGGATTAAATGAGCTGCCGTGCACACTGGACAGGACAGTGCCTGACCCACAGTAAGTTCTGTCTACCTGGAGCCATTGTTACCTACCGTCGGCATGTTGAAGGAAGTGCTTTCCCTCTGCTCAGACACCGGACCCGGGGAAGTCAGGGCCACCGACTGCTCCTTCGTCTCTCGGCAGTGCCCTGGCCACAGTGGCAAAGGGAGAGAACGTGTGAGCACCCGCTGGCGGTGAGGACCCAGGGGCACGTTCTCCCTTCCCTACCCCCCAGTCCCCTCTCCCCTCCACAGCCTGGCACACGAGGAGGACATGGCAGATGGCTGCCCGGGTGTGAAAAGAGGGTTTTTTTTTTTAAAGCAATATTTGCCTGAAACCTGTTCCTCTCATGATTTATTATTAGGAGCCGGGCAGATGGTTCTGGCGTGTCAAATACCCTCCTGCTCCCTGTGTTCCCAAAGAGGGGGCACTTGGGATCAGGGCGGTGTGACCCCTGATGAGGTTAGAACAAGATTCACCCAGCTTCAGCTGTGAGGGACCCCACCTTTTAAAGTAGGAGCCAGTGGTACTGAGAGGCATTTTCATCGTGTCGTAACTTGAAACTCATCTGGCTGGTAGATATTCAGGGAAGGGGGTAACAATGTTAACCCTACAAGCCCTCCAGGGCTGCGAGATCCCCTGCACCCCTACTCCCTGACCTTAGGGGCTAGATTCCTAAGGCAGCAACTTCTAGCTTTGCTGTCCACTGAGGGGTCCTGCATTGTAGCAGTTTAAAGCATTGGTTGTGTCAATCATCAGATCTCAGCAAAATTTCCTCTTCAGCCACTCATTAACCTTGGGCAAGTTACTTCAGTTCTCATCTGGAAAACGTAAATTCTAGAAGCCGCCTCACAGATTGTTCATCGTGTCAGGCACTGAGCCCGGCACATGGTAAGTGCCCAGTACACGGTGGCTGGTCTGATATGGGTTGTTTCCTATGGTGAAAGGTCAGTGCAATGACTGTTTCTTAGGGTTTGAGGGGCGTCCGACACTCATCTGTCTCCCGGTAACAATACCTGGGATTTCCTGTGGGAAGCCATGCCCCCTCCTCCCCACTGCCTGTTATTTTTGCCCCCCTAGAGCTGACCCAGCCCCACCCCCCACTTCAGGATTGGAACATACGACTCCGGGAGGACCAATCAGAGTACTAGATCCCTGGTCTGGGGGTTAAATTCAGGGATGGGCACTTGACCCGGGCTAGTCCAAGCAGAATGACGAGTGGAATTTAAACTTGCAAACTCAGGAAGAGAGACTGGTTCCTGCTGCACTTGAACCTAGGTTAATAAGTTGGGAGTGGCTGTCACCCATCTTGCCTCTTCAAGGAGTCTAAATTAACATGGAGAAGACAAAACAGAGATTGAACCCTGGGGACATCAGCTGAGCCCCTGCATATAGTTAAGCCTGAAGATACCTCTGGGTCATGTCCAATTACATGAATCAACATATTCTCTTAAGGCAATTTGAGATGAGTTTTCTATGTTTGCAACCAAATGAGTTATCATGCCTGAAGTACTTAGATCCATTTAGCATACAAACTAAGCCCTACTGTGTGGTAAACATTGTAAGGATTCAGTGATAAGTCAGCCTTCACAGTGCTATGAATCCTGCCCAAGGTAAAATAGTGGAAAAGGCTCCACAAAAGAGGTGACTTTTAATTTGGGGTTTTGAAGGATGAATAGGAGTTCACCAAGCAAAGAAGAAAAGTGGAGAAGGAATTCTGGATAAAAGGTAAAAAATGTCCAGGCAAAGGTTGAGAGGCAAGTAAATAAAAGCAGTGTTCAGAGAATGACATGTGAACTAGGGTAGATGCAGCAACCACTAAGAGATGACAGGCAAAGAGGTCTGGAAAAGCCTGGATGGTCCTTAAAAGCAAGGATGTACTAAGATCAGCTCTGTAAGAGATCAGTTCATTGCTTCTCCAACAGCCACTTCCCCTTCAGGTAGAGTTGTTGCTTGAGGAGCTGCCTGGACAGGGATTACTTTCCCAGCTCCTCCTAGATGCAGGCTGGGAATAATACACACACACAGAACCAGATTCTGTGGTCTCAAACTCAAGGCCTACAGGGCAAATTCAACCTGCCTTCAGTTCTGCTTAGCAGGCAGTGTTTTCCAGTGTGAATGCGGGTCATGCACTCACTCTCCTGGCTGCAGGCTCCACTCCTCCCTAATGCCTAACTCCTCCTCTCCTCAATTCCACATTTCCTGTAACAGCCTGGAGCCAGCAGGAATGAGTTTATAATTCTTGGGAAGAATTTCAAAGCTGCCTGCTTCTGGGGAGCAGTGTGTGCAGTAGAAGGTGCTGAGAAATCCAGAGGTCCAGTTCAGGGAGAATCTGGCAAGGACCTCAGTCTGTCCACTACAGTATCTGTAGTGTCGGGCACATGATAAGCTCTAAACAAATACTGTTTGAATGAATGAAGTGTGCTCCCAGGCAGATAGCACCTTTACTGTCTAATATTTCATTAGCTGGGGCAGGGGAAGCCTGCTCCTCCTCTGCTGCTAAATTTTAACAGTCTGCCTTTAAAAGAAAGGCCTGGCTCATGAAGGGCTCTGCAGGGCCCCTGGGAGAAGACACTGCGGGCATTCTAAGTGCCCGCTCTAGAGAGGAGGAGCCTGCAGAAACGGAGCCAGGGCTGCATAACCCCGTGGAATGTTAAACGAGCTTGGGGCACCAGCCAAGCAGGGATGCTGTCAAACCCACAGATTAAAAACAAAATTGGGGGATCATTATGGGATGAAATGGACGTTTGTTGGACTTTCTTGGAGTTATTTTACACATTGTAATTTATGTGTAAGCGGGGTGGGGGGCATGATATTTTACAACTTTAGGGCAGCCTCAAGTCTGGATGGGCTCAGGACAGCCACGTCTTTGCTTTTTCCCAGTAGGAGACGCTGTGGAGCAGCAGGCACTGCCGCACAAGCGGGGAACTTACCCGGGGCACCTGCAGACGCGCTGCGACCGCGGGTCCGTTGGCGGCTGCGGCTGCGTATCCTACTGCGCCCGGGGAACTACCTGCCGCGCGGGCGCAGCCCCACGTCCGGGTGTTCTCGGACCCCTGGCACAGGCGCCTTTGTGACCCGCACAGATAGGGCATTCTCCTCTGGAATGCGCTGGGAAGGCGCAGAACCCTTAGGTGGGGATTACAGAACAGCTGGTGAGTGGGAAGTTCTGGGGGGCGGGGAGGACAAACAACAGTCCTCTGCGACCTCTGACCAGACCAGCTGGACCCTCAGGACACTGAGTGACTTCTTGACTTAGTCGACGCGCCCCTTCCCTGACTGCCCTGCACTCACACGACCTCTCCCTCTCATTCACTGGCATCCCCACTGCCTATCCCTCGTGCCCCCTCTAACACGCCTACTTACCTGCTGGGTACGTGCTTTACGTGCACTAACTCAAAGGAACCCAATTATTGCTCTGGGGGCGGGGGGGCGGGATGAATTGAAGAGAACTTCCCCAGTGCAAGGGAATCTGCCCATCAGTTTTCTTCAGGAGCACCCACCCCCACCCTCTTTGAACCCATCTGACCCAAGTCACCTGTGACTCCTGGCATGAGCATTTTTCACTGGGGGGGAGGGAGGGGTACTGGTTTTCTAGGACAATTTTGATTTTATGTGATTTCCACCCTACCTCCTAGCCCCTTGAGTGAACTGTAGCTCAGTCATACTAAGATCTCCATTCTCTTATCCCTAAACTCTTGGGACAAATGTGCCTTAGAACTTGCCATATTTTTTTGGTTTCAGGAAGGTAACATGGTGCACAAGGAAGCATGTTTCCCTGGAGGTTGCTGGCAGCCATATTGTAACCATAAGACGTTAGCGTGACAGTGTATATTACCTATGGGGCTTGGGCAACATGTTAAAATCAAACGTTAATTTTTCTGCAAGGAAATATATGCATATTAATGCCAAGTAGAATAAATAAAGATTATGATTAGCCTCATGTCAGGCCTTGATGACTCATAGAAACTTATCAACAAAACTTCCCAGTCTGAGGTGTGGAAAAGGAGAATCTTGATTCAGGTTTGCAAACCTAAGGAAACACAGCTTCTAGAGGAAACCAAAAGTGTGCTTTCCAGAGACAAGGGGGAGCCTACTTTGCAGGGGTGGGGAACCTCTTTTCTTCCAAGGGCCATTTGGATATTTACAACATCATCTGAGGGCCATACAAAATTATCAACTTAAAAATGAGCCTGCTGTGCTTGGTCAGGCCAATTTGGTGAGGCGTGTGATGTTAGCCAGTATTGACTTTGCAGGCCCTATAGGCCCTCAGGCTGGATGTTCCCCACACCTGCAAGTTCCCGCTTTTCTCCTGATTGGTCCATTTTATGCACATGGAAAATACAAATTTGCACAGTCCGATTGGTCGAAATAGCACTGTCCTGATTGGTCAGTGCATTCCGATTGAACAGAGCAAGTCTCAGCCCATTGGTCAAAGATGATGCCAGGAGTTCCCTTATGAGCTGACAGGAACACAGTGCAGGAGGCCGGTAGCTCAGTCTGTGGCTTTTCCTTGAAATGCAGGATGCGTGGGAGGCCTCTGTCAGCAGCGGCTGGTCGACTCAAATTATGAATTTGTGCCCAGTTAATCACAAGGAGTCTTTCCTTCTCAAGGTCCACAAGTGTTTTGGGACAAGTGTAACCATCGTCTATTTACAGATGAGGAAACTGAGGCTTGGAGAAACAGAGACTTTTACAATAAGTGGGGGAGCCAATATTTGAACCCATGGCTGTTTGTCTCGAAAGCTCCATGCTTTACCACCACCCTGAGTGAAACCACAGCTCCAAACCTGAGCAGTTCTTCTGGAAGCTGATATCTACCATCTCTCTGATATTTAAAGGGCCACCGTCGTCTTCAGCTCCATACATAGCCAAGTGACTCACACATTTCAAGTGTCAACAACTGAAAGATGATTAAGTTCACTTAGGTTCCGGACTTGTTAAAAATAGGCTTTCCTCAGAAGAATTTACTCTCTCTGCCTTTATGGGCACAGATCTCAGCACCCCCCACGCAGAGAAGTGCAAGGCTTTTTAAAATTAGAACATGCCAGAATCCATTCTGCTAGAGGGATCTTTAGCTCCACCAGTGGGGCTTGGCGCAGAGTGATGCCAGCTTGCCAAAATGATGAG